TTTCCTGCGATCGTTTCAGATCTACGCGATCTATTTGACACTATTTGGCTCTTAACCGTATATGGCGGACGGCAGGACCGGCACACGGCTTTGGACCAATCAAAGATGGGGTCCTCAAAGGACCCCGATTGTAGAACCACGTGGCATCTCTCTTTCCATCTTTAGCCAAGGTGGCGGATGCTGGTCAAGGGACTCAAGAGAACAGACATGACCTAGCTTGGGGCGTTGGAGATGCGGTCTCCAGGTGAAAGCAGCATACTTCAATGTCAGCTGTTTTACATAAATGACTTGTATACTCAGAACCTGAGGGAGGAGTGAGTGGACATCTCTTCAAATCGTTGAGGTGAATGCTCAGTCGGAAATCATGGCTGGAACACAACTGCTTTCGCAAAATAAATATATTAGTATATGATGCTGCTCAGGATGTCAAGTTTTCAGCTTGCTACCAAATCTTATCTATGTCTACGGTAGCGGGCTCTGCCGCTCGCACGGCCCTACCGCCTTATCCTGGGATCGTCGTGGTCAGCAACCTCTTGGTGGTGAGTGTAAACCTTCCACGTGGCGGGATCTAATCTTAGAGCCCATCGACGCCGACGTCACTCTGATTTCACCTCGCTCGATGCCTGCAGCCTGCACCTCCGCACAAATCCTATATAAACACCCCGCCATGGATTTCAGACGCCTACATTTCCTCCACCATGCCCGGCCAGGTCCTCTACGAAGCAAACCCCCCGCCGGACGCGTCGCACTTGCCCGATGAGCTGCTGAAGCTGCGCGTTCAGCTCGACGTGAGCAATGCCCTCTCAAAGGAGGAGGTCCAGGCTATACAGAGGTTCAGGAGGGCGGCGGATTATATTGCTGCTGGTATGTTTTACTTAAGCGTAGTCGATCTTTTGGCATGAGCAGTGTCAGCGATTTCATGAGTGGTCGCCATTCCTAGCGGTGAACGCGTTTGGACTTTTGCATGGAAGATTAGTTACGACGTGGACAATCAGCCTCATGAATATTGAACGAACATCTTGCTGGCTTCCACTGAACATACTTTATTCAATGACCCCGACCGTCGCTAATGATACACACCCTTAGCCATGATCTTCCTAAAGTCAAACATCCTTCTCGACAAACAGCTCTCCCACGAAGACATCAAGCCCCGCCTCCTCGGGCACTGGGGTACATGCCCCGGCCTCGTCCTCGTCCACGCCCACCTTAACCGCATTATCAAGAAGACAAACCTCGACGCGGTGTATGTCATCGGTCCAGGTCTGTCTCTGCCTTCCCCGACCCTTCAAGTGGGGTGGAGCTCATATAATTGATTGTATGCAGGACATGGCGCCCCGGGGTACCTCTCGTGCCTATGGCTCGAGGACTCCCTGTCCAAGTTCTACCCCGAGTACAGCAGGGACATGCAAGGCCTGCACAGGCTGATCACCAAGTTCAGTCTTCCAGGCGGTTTTCCTAGGTCCGTTGTCCCCTCCTGTTCTGTCGTCCGCCCTGCATCCTGACTCTTTCGGGCATAGCCATATCAACTCCGAGACCCCAGGCTCCATCCACGAAGGTGGCGAGCTCGGGTATGCCCTGGGCGTAGCTTTTGGCGCTGTGATGGACAACCCCGACCTCGTCGCGGTGTGTGTTGTCGGCGATGGCGAGGCCGAGACCGGGCCAACCGCAACGTGAGTGAAGTGCCGTCCTGTCTTTGCCTTCCTGTGTTCATGGGCTTCGCTCGCAGCGCTTGGCATGGGTACAAGTACATCGACCCGGCCGAGTCTGGCGCGGTCCTGCCCATCGTGCACGTCAACGGATTCAAGATCTCGGAACGGACGATCTACGGGACCATGGACGACAAGGAGCTCGTCGCCTTGTTCAGGTAGACACGCGCTATATGCGCCGACGAGAAGTACTCACGGACTCGATATTAGTGGCTATGGTTATCAGGTCCGCTTTGTGGAGCATCTGGATAATATCGACAACGACCTGGCTGGGTCGATGGAGTGGGCGTTGGGGGAGATTCGGAAGATACAGCAGGCTGCGAGGAGCGGGAAGCCGATCGTCAAGCCGCGGTGGCCTGTTCTGATCATGAGAACGCCCAAGGTATATGCGCTCCTCCATGGCGCCGTCATGACAGCCTGCTTAAGATGTTATGTATAGGGCTGGTCCGCACCGAAGAAGGTGCATGGCGAGTTCATCGAGGGGTCCTTCCACGCACACCAAGTGCCCCTCCCGAAAGCGGGGTCGGACGATGAGGAGCTCGCCGCGCTGCAGGCGTGGCTGTCGTCCTACGGGCCGAAAGAGCTGTTCAACCCGGACGGGACGGTGAAGCCGGAGGTGGTCGAGGGTGTCGTCCCCGATAACGACGACAAGAAGATCGGGCAGCGGAGGGAGGCGATGCGGATGTTTTGCGGGCTGGAGGTGCCCGCGTGGAGGGAGCACGGCGCGGACGAGGGGGCGATGGTCAGCGCGACCGGGGCGCTGGGGACGTTCCTCGAGGAGGTGATCAGGAAGTCCGTATTGTCTGCCCTCTCTCCCTTTGTACCGAAAGCTGACTAACGCTCTACAGGAATCCGTCTTCGTTCAGAATATTCTCGCCGGACGAGCTGGAGTCGAATAAGCTCAGCGCGGTGCTGAAGGTTACGGGCAGGAACTTCCAGTGGGATGTGGCCTCCAGGGGGAAGGGCGGGCGCGTGATCGAGGTGCTCAGCGAGCATACGTGCCAAGCGATGCTGCAGGGGTACACGCTCACTGGGCGGTGTGGGCTGTTCCCCAGCTACGAGGCCTTCCTTGGGATTGTACACACGATGATGGTGCAGTATAGCAAGTTCGTCAAGATGGTATGTCGCCTTCTTCTGTCTTTATCAGATGAAGGAGGTGGTTGACGCACTGGTGTTGGTGCGGTAGGCCGCGCAGACGAAGTGGCACACGCACATCGGCTCGCTGAACTACCTCGAGACGTCGACGTGGGCGCGGCAGGAGCACAACGGGTTCTCGCACCAGAACCCGAGCATGATTGGCGCGATGCTGAACCTCAAGCCGACGTTCTCGCGCGTGTACCTCCCGCCCGATGCGAACTGCATGCTGAGCACGATGGCGCATTGCCTCCGCGCGCGCGGGTATATCAATTTGGTCGTGGGGAGCAAGCAGCCGACGCCGGTGTGGTTGGGGAGGGAGGAGGCGGATCGGCATTGTATTGCGGGCGCGAGTGTGTGGAAGTTTGCGAGTGTGGAGGAGGGCGTGGATCCGGATGTGTGAGTGGTGCTTCGCCTCTGGAGCACTGCGGCGGGAACTGACCTGTGTACGTTGTAGTGTCCTGGTGGGTATCGGCGTGGAGATGACCTTCGAGGTTATCGCTGCCGCTTCCCTGCTGCGCCAGCACGCCCCGCAGCTGCGCGTGCGCGTCGTGAACGTGACGGATTTGATGATCCTGGGGCCCGAGGGGAGCCACCCGCACGCACTGACAGACACAGACTTTTACGCGCTGTTCACGACCGACCGGCCGGTGCATTTTAACTACCACGGGTACCCGATCGAGCTGAAGGGCCTGTTGTTTGGCCGGCCTGGGCTGAGTCGGGTTACGATTGAGGGGTGAGTTGGTTCGTGCGTGTATGCGTGGATTTGTCTCTGAGCGGAGTTCTGTGCCGCTACAGGTATCGAGAGGAAGGGACCACGACTTCGCCTTTTGACGTGAGTGATCTCTAGGAGTGTTTCAGGGTACACTGACGCGCGGTACAGATGATGCTCTGCAACCGCACATCTCGGTACCACGTCGCCGCAGCTGCCATCCGTGGCGCGGCGCTGCACAACGCCAAGGTCGCGATTGACGCGCACGAGAAGATTAGTTATTTGATGCATTTGTCACAGAAGGATAGGGCGTACATTCTCGAGCACGGGACGGGTGAGTGGATTTCTGTCACGGATGCCGATGAACGTGGTGTTCTGACCTGTTGGGACCGGGGCGACGTTTGTAGATCCTGAGGGGACGTATGAGAGGCCAACGTTTTAAAGTGGTGGTGTTAGATGGAAGTATAAGACAAAATGGAAGATAGAGGAAGGAATTAATCAAGTGATGTATTCTCTTCCCTTGTAATATGACCGCGTTAACGCGATTGATTGACCTCCTGGAAAAGAGTGTAACTGACGTTGGCCCTCGCCAAGCCCTATCAGCGAAAGCACCTCGATCTGATACATTTCCAGCGTCTCCTGGAACTATGGATACTCCGCGAATTCGATGTCATCACCAACTCGTTTGTTTCGCGGAACTGAGGGAAGTATGGGGCTCTGGTCGCGATCGGAGTCACGTTCACCCTTGTTTCGCTCGTGGTATGTACTCACTTCATCTGGACAGAGTATCAGTGAGTTCACTGACGGACTTCTGAGCATAGCCTTGATCTGCAGTGCTCTCAGAAGTAGCGCCCGGAGGACCTTGGACGACGTTTTCCGGCAGGTTGATGCTCCACTTGTTCCGGAGAAGATGGGGGGTGCGTGCGCGGAATGCGCTAGGAGAGCTTGTGCAAGCTAACTCTCAGAGCCACGGCCTACTTTTGGCCTACTTTCAGGAATATCTTGCCTTTGGATTGTGCTAAGTAAATCCTCTTGGCTATCACCAGGGAATCGAGTGGCAGATGTGCGCGACCGAGGTTCTATGTGGCTGCAGCGTCGAGGCCTCGGTATCCAAGCATCATTCCGGAACTCTGAACGTGAGTCACCTGTCAGAGTCCGTGATGGACTACGGTGATATAGCGCATACGGAACAGGGGCCGATGGTAGTCGATTATGAGCACTTTTCCACTGTTCGGAGCTGTGGGATAGGATTGTGATATTTATGTTTCAATCCCTCCGTTCGTACGTATATGGTCCACAATACCAGTAGAGGACACAACATCAACTTCGCAGGTCTTCTGGCGCCTCATCGGGACCGAACAATCAACACCCTGTGCGACGCATCTGGGGATCATTCCCATGCTTATTATGGACGTCGCAAGACTACTTACCGTTGTCTTCGACTGAATTATCAAAGTTCTCCCCAATACGCAATGCGCGGCTGGTGATGGCCTGTATTCTTGGAGTTGTTCCGGGAATGCTGAAGGGGAAATCCTCTAACTTTGCTTGAATGTCATAGCCCGAGGATGGTGCGCAGTCCTGTTACTTGTTTTGCTTCTCCCTCCATCCTCTTTGGTACTTGGTCATTGTTATGCATATCCCGGTATGACCTGCAAATTGCGCGGTCGCGCGTACTGGGTTGCCTGGTGCAGTCTTCTAACCTGTCTTTTCTCCTCCCGACGTACACTCCTTGGGGCAAATGGCCAGACGAATCGTACGATAGACGACTCGAATGGAGATCCCTTCACGGGCGCTATGCCTGATTATGAGCCCGTTGGCCTTTGGGCTGCCGGCCAGGGATGTCCAGGTTGTTTAGCGCAGCCGGACAAGTCGAAAGTATATCAGGGGACTTGGCATGATACTACCCACCATGGAAACGATACTGTTCCCAAGACTGTCTCCTTCAACTTCACGGGTGAGTCTAGCCTTCAGAGGCGTTCCCGCTCCTGGCTTACGGTGGTAATGTGGTCGTCAGGGACAGCTCTCTATGTATATTGCATCATAGATAATCAGCCGGGTTATACCACTTTAACGGCGCTGAACTTCACTCTCGATGGAGACAACGCGGGGTGGTACGTGCACTACCCTAACTCCGCCGAGGGGTCCTTCGTCTACAGTGTGCCGGTTTATTCCAATAACTCGATCCCCAATGGCAACCATAACTTCGTCATGACGGCTGGAGGTCAGGTTGACTCTCTCGTGTTGTTTGACTTTGCATCATACACGTGGGTGCTGTCCCTCTTCCATTGGGTGCCAGGGTAATGGTCTGATACGCATTTGTAGATATGAGGCCCTGACCGTACAACCAAATGCGTCGTCTGCTGCGCCAGGCTCTACCACATCCTCCTCAGGGTCCACTGCATCGCCAACTTCGCCCAGTCGTGGAGGATCCAATAACCTGGCAGCTATAGCAGGCGGCGCTGCAGGGGGGGTAGCGTTTCTAGCTTTCGTCGCCGGAGTATTCATCTTTCTGTGGAGGCGAAAGAAGCGGAGTCATGACACGAACAGTTCGAATGTCACTATGGCTGCTTCAACCCATTATCCTCACCAACCAAGTTCTGCCAACTTACCGCCTTCATCTTTCGATACACAGCCAACCTACCGCAATGGCGCATGGACATACCCAAGTAGCATGTCTCTTACTTCGCCTGGAGCCCCGCGTAGCGCTCTCACGAGGACAACTGAGACATCTTACTTCCCGCAGACGCCTCCTTCGAGGTCCACGACGAGGGCCACGATGCGGGAAGCGCATATAAAGGAGCAGTTACGAGGGTACGAGCGGACTGTAGCTGCTCTGCGGCAGAGGGAGGGTTCAATTTACACTTCGTCGACGCGCACCCGGAGCACCCGGAGTGCTGCCGCCCACGAGGAGAATCGGCGCCTCAGGGAGGAGATTGCAGCCATGCAGAGGGAAATGGAAAGGCTGAGGCGGGAGCATATTGACCTACTTTCGGAGATCGACAGTGCCCCTCCACCTGAATATAACGAATCACTACGTTATGACAGGGAGCACGGGTTAAGATAGACTCGGACATCGTGCAGTAGTATGTACTGATCCGGTGTATACCTAAGGTAGCCGTCACACGTTCAGGTCGCTCCCTCGGCGGGTGGTGGCGAACGAGCAACTTCGGAACCGCGAAACGTTCGTACATGGTGCCCATGCGGTATCTACAGATGGCTTCCTGATTATCATAGTATGCCCTGGGTTGCACAAGGAGATCACATACGGAGTTCATGAGGAAGAGGAGGAAGTCAGGCATAGAGGGGATGCTTGATTGCTTACGATGCATAATGCATGAATGATTGTGACTGGGGGATAACGCGACTCACTGAATCATTCGCAGACTGTTCGAGTTCAGAAGTGTACAGCACCTTGCATTCATAGTATCCCAGATTAGATGCGAAAGCCCATGGATCCATGGATGAAAGATCAACTCGAGCACATCATGGCCGGGACAAGGTGAACAAGCACACTACGTACGGGGGACTACATCAACTTCGCCATACTTACAGGGTCTCATGTCCTCGCACAAAAGGTTTTGCAGGTAACAATGAGTAAGCCTACAGGTCAGTAGGACAGCTTCAGTTGGGAGATCATTTAAGAGGGATACGCTGCGTCTGCGTTAGGGATTCTTGCAGGAGCACGAGGTTGTCCCGATATGGTAGGGCCTTTTCCCTTTCGGGCGGTGAGGACAGCCAGTTCGCTTGCCACTTCGTCTGAACAGGCAGATTTCAGCCGTAGACGGCATCAGTACAGCTCAGGGTTTGACTCAACAGCGATTAACAATAGCACGGACACTGCAGGGCAAGATGACCGCAATAGCCCTCGCACTTTCACGCTGGCCCGGAGTAGCGCAGATATGGAAGCCTAAGCTTCTTCGATCCCGCAAGAACGTACGAATCCAGATAGCGACGCCTCAGTTGCCTACATGACTGCTACGGCGCCCCTGCCTACTGCTGTATCCAATTGTGAAAACTATAAAAGCGCATGATATTCTCAGGGATGTGTTCACGACTCATCGAAGTCCTGCCCAAGCCAGATGTCCGCCCTGCTGAGAATCCCTCTGCTCATCTCTGCAACCCATAGCTTCAACGTGGGTGTCACACCTCCCAATCCTCCTCCAGCACCGTCCGAGCTGGTGAATGAGAAGTGGCTGTCAAAGCTAGCACGTGCAGGGCCGTGGACGTACGCGGTGAGGCATCTAATGTAACTGTTGGCTTATGCTAGCCACATGCTGAGCGTAGGTTACTAGGCCTGGTCCACGATCGTCGCCCTCTGCGAGACGGCAGTGTTTCTGGTACAGAGCCGGCCTGAATTGCCATATGCGGACGTTATTTTGAAGAGCCTGATGCCCTCGCGCGCACCTGCTTCTGCATTGCGCATCACGCCGCTGTTCCTCCTCGGATGGGCGACCACGGTAGCGGGAGGTCTCGTGAGAGTTTGGTGCTACCGCACGCTTGGCCGCCTCTTCACCTTCGAGTTGACAATTCGCAAGGATCATCGCCTTGTCACCGAGGGTCCCTACTCCATCGTCCGCCACCCGAGCTACCTGGGCCTCATGTTGGCCTTCATAGGCTTCCATATCCTTCACCTTAGTCCCGGGTCATGGCTGAGAGAGAGCGGAGTGTTGGAGACGACCGTCGGGAAGTGCATTTTCTGGTCTTGGATGGCGTTCGTCTTGACGATGGTTCCCGGGGTGGTGAGCAGGATGCCTGTGGAAGACCGCATGATGAAGAGGCAGTTCGGGGAACAATGGGAGCAGTGGGTTCAGCGCGTCCCGTACAGGATTGTTCCTTACTTGTATTGAACTGCCTGTACCTTGGTGCAATGACTGATCTCTATGAATCATTGACCGACTACATACTTGAGCGCCTACCGAATTTTGCACAAGTAGTCGTCAAGGTAAACAGCCTACGTACCACCGCAGTGACGAACCCGCCAGAAAAGCAGGGGGCCACGGCTAACACAGCCAGATGGCACTCGGCGATCGCTTGAGGAGCTTTGGCGACGTCGCGTCACTTGAGTGCCATGGTATACTGACAGAGTCAAGCATCCATATTTATGTTGTCGTTCTGACTCCTGGGCTACGATATGAGGCTAGCCAAGGGGCGGACAGAAATAAAATTTTAGACCACATGCCACAAATCTCAGTTAAGGGTCGCCAGGGGACCCCCCCTCCCCCCGTGGGACAGCCTCACGGTACATAAAGGGAAGGTATGTCGCATAGCAAGCAAGGGTTAGGGTTACTTTGTCACAGGGGGTGTCACATCTACTTCGGTCACAATTCATATGTTTTTCTGAAGATCGCTACCAGGAGTCGTTCTTTCTCACCGCTTTCCTCTGGGATACTTCAGAAAGGCATTTAGATTACTCAAAAGTACCCAATGGTGTGCCAGATACCTACCCGTTAGGCCCCTTACCCCAGATGGCTGGGCGCTTAACTGATAATAAATCTCAGTTAAGGGCTCCGAGGTCCCCCCCTCCCCCTGCATGTGGTCTCGGCATCTCCCGGTGTCCGCCCCTTGAGGCTAGCTAGGAGTTTGTCGTCCAACTGTCTACGGAACATCGATGATCCGAATTCTTGTGTGCCACTCAGCCACCAAAAATCCCTTAGATGATTGTGAGAACGAGTATTGATCGTTGTGTGAAGTACATAGTATGCAGTGTGATATATTACATTGGTATACACGAGCAAGTCCTCAAGAAACGAATAAAAAAGATCCATGTATCCTTACAGAGGCACTTATCCTAATACCTTCCTCAATCCTTCCTTCTGGGCTGGTGTTAGTCGGTCGGGGAAGACAACCTCCCACTTGACCACCATATCGCCCTTCTTCTTTCCTCCCTGCTTGCGTATCGGCATACCCTCGCTGGGTATTCTTGTCACTTGTCCAGGCTTGACAATACCGGTAGGTACCGGCACCTGGAGCTTCCGTCCGTCCAGGTGCTCGACCACCTTGGTACCGCCCGACCCTGTTAACGCGTCGACAAGCGGGATCTTGACGGTCGTGTGCAGGTCATCGCCATCGCGTGTGAACCTATCGTGCGGCTTCTCCTCCACAACGAAGACCAAGTCTTGCGCCTCTCCGTTTGGCTGCTCGTTGCCTGCACGAGCAAACCGGACCTTCGTCCCGCTCTTCCACCCAGGTTGAATCTGGATTTCTAGGACCTTATCCTCCGTGCCACCGCTCAGCAATCTCCGCCCAACCTTGACGTGCTTCGAGGCTCCATTGTACAGATCTTCCAATGACACCTTCAGCGGGCGGGTGATTTCTGATGGTCCCTTCGGTGTCGGTTGCGGTCCTGGCGACGCTGGCCGACTGCCTTGCCGTGCTGTCCGCCGACCGAAACCACCGGGCATGCCTCCCATGCCTCCGAAGCTGCTGAACCCAGACATGTCGTCGTCATCGTCTGCGCCGCCAAACATGCCGCTCATGCCCCGCATGCCACCCAGGCCGCCTCCGAGCCCGCCAAAGAATTGCTCGAAGATCTTGTTGGGGTCGGTCGGCGAGAATCCACCACGCCCGCCGCCAAACCCTCCCGGACCCGACGTGAACGTGAACGTAGTCCCTCCGCCGCCTGGGAAGCTGCTGAAGCCACCAGGGAAGCCACCCATGCCTGCCCCGCCGGATGGTGGCGGGCCTCCACCCTTGAGACCCTCTTCGCCGAACTGATCGTAAATCGCCCTCTTGTTCGAATCACTGAGGACTTCGAATGCTTCGGAGATCTGCAAACAGAACGTGTCAGAAACTTAATATCGAGAAGAGTAACATCCTGATTTGACCTACCTGTTGGAACTTCTTCGAGGCTTCCTCGGACCCGGCGTTTCGGTCGGGGTGCCATTTGAGCGCCTGCATAAAAGTGATCGTCAGCAACGTGCTCGATGCTCAACATTGCTATAGAGAAATGCCTACCATCTTCTTGTACGCCCGCTTGATGTCCTCCTCGCTAGCATCCTTGCTCACACCCAAGAGCTTGTAGTAGTCAGTTCCCATTTTGACAAAAAGTCGTTAAAACAGGAAGTTTCGTAACGTCGTGTAGTGAATGGTAGGTTGCAAAAGGCGCAACGCCCCGCTGGCGGTAATATAACTGCTGGCATCCCGCTGGCCGGGAATCCACGATGTGGCTGGCGGATATACCAGAAGAAACTAGAAGTTACTGCCCCATAGCGTGACGTCACTTTTCCCGCCCAAGGCGCCCGCCTATTGCCTCCTTTGGTAGTCACCGGTCCTTGTGGCCCGCCGTCCCTCCGCCTTAAGTTAGTCCTCAGCGCTGCCGCCGACGATGCCCTCGAGCACGATAGCTGCTGCTGCCACAACTGGCGCCCAGGCAAGGCCACAGAACGGCGATGGACCGCACGATGAGCGCCGGAACTCCCTAATGCGCAGGTCGTGGTACGCGATGACGGACATGCTCTCGCCGTTCTCGCCTTCGGCGCTCGCATCGCTGCCCAAGAGACCCAAACGGGCTGCGCGCTATACTAGGGCGGATCACATTCCTGATACCGAACAAGATGAGAACGGGCAGCCGCCGACTGTGCGCGATTATCATGCTATCAACTCGGTGCCCCCGCAGGTGCGAGTACCGAAGAAGATCCCCACGCCGATCAAGGTGGAGGGGAAGGTCTGGTTTGCCAACGAACGAAGTGCGTAGCAGTGCACAGCTCAATATCTGTGATGCTCAGGAGGGAATATAGCATGGGTGTCATACCTGAACATCGCCATGCTGATGGGCACCTTTTCCTTGGCTCTGTTCAATACATCGAAGGATCAGATCGCTAGGAACTTTGCCTACGTTTATGCTGGTCTCAGTGTTGCCATAGTGGTGAGCGGACATGCTCTGTGCTGCGGTCTATCCGTACCAAGGTTTTTGTTCCTCAGGTTTACGGATACCTGCTGTATCAGTACAGAATTACTCTGATCCGAAGGAGAGATCCCAACCACTTTGGTATGCTTGCTAGTTGTATCTGCATCCCAGATTCTGACTGCCTCGCATAGATCAAATATGGGGACCTATAGTCATAAGTATCGCTCTCTTCTGCGCTGTTCTGGCAAACTTCATCTTGAGAGGTACGCACAGTTCTATAAGGTCCTAAAGCCTATTTGACCGGTATTCCATTTGCAGTGAGGGAGTTGTAAGTGTTACAGTCATCGCCCGTACTAAGTTCTCACTCAAGGCGATGAGCGCAGGCGTCAGTCAGAAGTGATACCGGCACCTAGTCCTACGCCCACCGGTTTCTAGCCTGTAGGTTCCATTCCGACGCTGCGGGTTGAAGGGGTTGAGGGAGGTACTGTACGATCAAGAATTGGGGTGCTTTGACACAAACTATGGATTAGTTGTTGTTACATAGACTGTCATCTACATAACGGATATCGGGAGATTACAATGTGAATACTGAATTACCCTACGCGATCACAGATATCTCCTGCGGCCCGCAGGCTGCCCAAGGGGTTTCAAGTTGGAGGTATCGAGAGCCGTGCTAGTGCCACAGTTTGCTGCTTCCATCTCATACAGGTTGATGGTAAGTGGTAGCTCTACTCGGTCAAGTATCCGTTCCGTCGTGTTGTCACTTGCCTGCGAGTTGGCGTGCCCGGGTCTCATTCAGAGCTTCGCCCTCGTCGGCAAGTCTGCTGCGACGAAAACCAGGTTCACGATCTTGCGACTATCCGTACTCGGGTCCTCTGACTGCGATTGAATCCTGCGGAGCACGGGTCAATATCTATCGCTCGTTAATGATGCAACCACTTACACGACATTCACGGACTTGTGACGTTCAATGTCCACCACCCCCTTCGTTCCAGGCAGCTCCTTCCTTTGCCCCCGAACAACATAAACACCTCCGAACGCGCCATTCTGCAGGCACTTTAGCGAGAGGACATTGCACATATCCCCATCCTCAACCTACCCTGTTGCTTGGGTCTTTGGGTACGTCCACAGTGACCTGCCAATCCACCTTGAGTCCAGCAGGTGCGGCCCGGCGCATGGCCACCACGAGTTGCTTGACTCCTTCGCGATTAACGGGCGTACCGTTCAGCAGGACTCTAACATCGGGTGAGAACGTCTCCTCCACAGCTCGCAGCGATTCCGCGTCATTGCGAGATTCGAAGACGGCGCTGATGTGCTGTTTAGACCATTCGGTGAGGGTTGGAAGGGCCTTCCCGGACATTTCGCGGCGAGGAGGGGATGTCAAGAAAGAGCTGCAAACGATGGCGTATCATAGTATGTAAAGTTGATCCTGACATGATGCGGGCCTGCGTATATTCTGAGCTTCGGAGTTCGGACAGTCAAGGTCTTCCTTGATCGGTGGCGATTGAGCGTGGCCGAAGCGATGTCCGAGCGCAAGCATCCATAATTATACATGCACAGGAAGTACAGAGCTCAGCAAGTTTTAGGGAGCAAAGTCCGCAGAAGAGTTGTGCACGCCCGGATTCAGAGTGAGGAGAAAGAGTTGGACGGTATGATGCAGATGGCTGAATTGCCAGTTCCCACGGGTTGCGCTCGAAAACTCAAATTGCGTATACAAAGAAATAGCGGGTATGAAGCAAAGGACAGGAATAACACGTTACAATCGATACATCCAGAGGGTACAACAGCTTTTGTAATTTGAAACTTCACTTCAAGTGCTTCTTCATTTGCTACATAGCCAGATCGTCAGCATTCGCGAACTGAACGGGATAAAAGTGGCAAGACCGACCTCCTCCATCGTGTCCAGGTCGGTGGTCTCTATACGAGCGATTTCCCGGCCAAGTGCAACCTCGATCTGGTGCATCTGCTCCCATGTGCGCTTGTCGTGCACGAAATTGATGGAGATACCCTTCCGTCCGAACCGACCTGTCCGGCCTATACACCACAATCATGTCACCTCACGCTCCTTCGCAACAACTGAAGTCGACATACCAATTCGATGGATGTACGTCTCGATATCGGGTCGCATATCAGCTTTGTTCCCATAGTTATCCCGCTCGCTCATCAGCGGCAGGTCGTAGTTGACCACCATGTTGACCTGCAGGATATCGATACCCCGCGCGACGACGTTCGTCGTGATGAGGACCTTCTCGCGCCCCTCACGGAAGTTGTCGATGATGGCGTCACGTTCCGCGCCGTCCTTCGCGCCGTGCAGCGAGGCGACTTTGTGCCCCTCGGCCGTCATGCGCTGCGAGATCCTGTCTGCTGTATGACGATGCTAGCAGAGGAAAGAAGAGCCGAATCAATAACGTGTTTGAAGAATACAAGGAGATCTACACTCACTTGGCAGAAGATTATGCTCTGACCAATTGTCAGCAGCTTGTATAGTGACACCAGGATATCATATTTCTGGTCCTCGTTCTTGCAATCCATGTAAAACTGTCGGATACCCTCAACGGACAGCTCATTCTTCTGCAACTCGATCTTGTTCGCGTTCGGTGCAAATTTGGACGCGAACGACCGGACGTGATCGGGGAAGGTAGCAGAGAACAGGATGATTTGGATGGGCTTGCCTTTCGGCAGCGCACTTCCGCTCCATCAGCCTCACACTCGCCGCGGAACGTCGCGATAGCACTCACTTCTTCACTTTCAGCGTCTGCTCGCCCAGCCCGTCCTGATCCAACATGTTGTCCGCCTCGTCCAGCACGAACACGCTCACTTCGCTGACATCCAGAATCCTCTTGCGGACCAGGTTGAACATCGTCCCTGGTGTGCCGACGACGATATGCGCGGTGATCTTGGTCACGTCCCGCGGAAGGTGGTCCTTGATCGCGTACTCGGTTTGAACGGGGGTGAACTTACCCATGGCCACTACTACAGACATGATTTGTCGCGCAAGTTCACGGGAGGGTGCTAGGCAGAGAGCCTGGAGTTATGTCTTGAGTAAGGAGTCCGAGATTACTAGGATTGACGGACAAGGATGACGACTTACCTGAGGCTGGTTCTTGGAGAAGTTGATCCGACTGAGCATAGTAAGGACAAAAGCGGCGGTCTTCCCCGTTCCGGACTGTGATTGACCGATCATGTTCTGGGGCCTGTGCAGACGCGAGAGACAGTCAGCTGATGACTAGTAGGGGATCCGGGGCAACATACGGGTTCTTCAGCAACAGTGGTAAAGCGCGCTCCTGAATCTTTGAGGGCTTTGTGAATCCCATGTCATAGATGCCCTTCAATAGATCCGCATGTCTGTATCCCCGTCAGTCCCTCCAGTCCCTCCTCACAAGATGCACGCCACGTACAGCCCAAGCTCCTCGAATGTTTTGATACTAAATAGCGGTGAATTTGGATCAGCTTGCTGGTCGGCGAGCGTCACCTATCCCCCAAGTCATGAACACTGGAACCCTCGCACACGAGCACGAGCTTGACGTACCGCGACCTCGAAGGTAGACTTGATCAGATCGCTTGCATCTACGGTCATAGTTCAGTTATAATTACACCAGACGCAAATGTACGTCCCATACCCTCATTTTTCTCCTCCGCGTCCTCGGGCTTTGCGCTGCTACTTGCTGCAGGAGCTATAGCACGCGTCTCTTCAACTTATCCGATGCACGCCCAATACGATCGAAGACGTACCAGCTTCACCCTCGGGTGCGGGCGTGTAGAATCCGTCAGCGTCCTTCTGCAATGTAGACATCGTTGGCAGACGGGAAAGTACTGAAGCCGGAGGATGAGTCGCAGCCACAGAACTTTTGCATCTTCATTGCCACAGGCAGAAGGCGGCACCGCAAGCGGCAAAGGCCGAAGCAATCCGATCAGCTTCAGGTTTCCTTTCTTGGAGTATGTCAGAGCTTGGCTTTCACCGTCGACTTCAGCTTCGCCTGTTTGTGTTCATGCTGACCACACGCGCACCTGCCGACATGCACCGTACATCCCTCTTAGCTTTTGAGTTGATGTTGATTTTGCAAGCGCGCGGAAGGTCAGGCCACCACAACTGAAAGTCTTGACGTGTTCTGCATTGGCCTCCCCCCAGATTACAGAGGGACGCTTGACTGCCATATGTCTTTCTTTCCCAGAAATACTATATACAAGCATAGCGCCATATGCTGGCGTTGATTAGACATCGTGATCTGGGCTACCTGCTTGCTTCGGCTGGACGGCTTACTCGCTCTGGCTCTCACACTGACCACCCTCCACTCTACAACTCTTGCGCACTATGGTGCTCGCGGTGACGTTCAGAAATGTGATCAATGGGACAGTCCCTTTTGCTCCCTCTTGCGACAGGGAGTACAGGTATGATTCGCAAGTCTGCCAAATATGGCAATCATCGTAGTTTCTTTCGCCTGCGGACGCACGCAGAATCACTACTTGGTAGGCCTCATCTTCTATGTCGTCTTCATTCCGCCTCTCTTCCCAAACTACTCACTTCGCTCTCGGATCTGAGAAGCCTTTTCTGCCTTCACCTCGGCTGCAGCTCACAACCTCGCCCGCGGTGGAGACCTGATATGTTCCGGCGGCTTTGTTCGATTAAAGCTACTCCACCCCAGCCGTATCTCTTCGTACTCGGCACCATAGAACTCCTACAAGTCACTCACAGCACCCAGCGCGTAGCAGCATAATGAATCGCGTGACGTCACGCGACTTAACAATAGCGCGCCTCATGGCTCTCACTCTCCAACATACAGGCTTCCTCCTCGGCGCAAATGATGAATTGGCTTCTGCACCATGTATCTGTGGTCATGCAGATAAGCCGTCGCCACCTCGGTTCGTAATGCGACACCGACGTCATGGTGGAAGCCAAGAGCTACTTAAACACTGGAGACCTGTCCGGGAGGCTCAAGATTTACCAAAGTTTCCTCCAGACGTCACTTGATACCCCTCGTACCGAATCCTAGGACTGTGTTAATCAGCAATCTTACTTCATCATGGTAAGTCCAGCGTGGCTACTAGGCACGACCGGTGTTGATTTGATTGTTAGGGTATCATCATCTCCACGATTGCAGCTGCTGTGACTGCCGTAGTCACCGGCGTCGTAGCCGTCGCCTCGATTATTCTCGGCGTTATCGCCACTGTAAGTTTACTTTCACCAACCATTGCCGTGGTACCTTCATCCCAACTGATCCACCCCTCCAGATAATCATCGGCATATTCGACATTATCTTCGACATCCTCTGCTGCAACTGCTTCGGCGCGCGCACCCGACGAACGGGAACTCATACATACTGGGGATCTGGTGGGCTCTTCGGACCCAGAAGGGCTGCAGCAGGTCCCATGGCGGGCGCCGGGGCAGGTCCGGGCGTGGGCGGTGGAGGTTTGGCCGGTGGGCCTGCGATGGGTACCACGGGTGCGGCGGCGACTTACTAAATGATTTCGTCCATCTCATCGAGTTACGCGATATTGACGATTTTAATACATGATTCGGTGACGACGGAGGATTATACTATTCATGTTTAATAGAGGATGTGTTGTAGTATTTGTGATTGTACCTATGCCCCGTGTAACGAAGGCACATACCCTCGAATTATCTATCAATTCTGCGTACACGCGAAGGAGGTGAATAGAGATTAATAGGGTTACACAGGGGTCACGGTCCCGGATGTAGGGGCGCTGGACACCATCACCACCTGGTTCAAGCCAGAATCTTGGAGGACGCGATACAAGATCGAGAATTCTTTGATCTGCCCAGGTGCAAAGCGTTCGTATGTCGGTGTTCGAGCGTACGCAATCTCGGCGGTGGTAGTCTAACAGCATGAGGGCGAGTCAACCGGCATAAACTACTAGTCTGAGAATGACAGCGTACTAGTATCTCTGATGTCAAACCCTTTATTGGAGACGCTGAACTGCGGAAGCGGTGCATACGGTACGTAGCACCATTGAGCCAGCTTAGTACGGTGTCCGTGGTGCTCTGCTTCGACTTAGTACCGGGACATCGAACGTTATAGGCGCTGACATACGTGAAGTTCGACCTCGTATGGCCAATGCTCGCTCCCGATAGGCACCAATGGTTCTTTCCTCGCTATGATGGGGTCCAGGAGAGCCTCCAGGGGATGGTCAAAGATGCAGTCGACTTCCTCCGCGTTGGCCGTCAGACCGCCGAGAACAGAGACATCACCCAAGAAAGCGACCACAGGTGTGACAAAGAGCTTCGACGACGACAAGAAGGGGCGCAGCAGACACAGGGTATACACATGCGGGCAGTTCAGCGGCAATCCGACTTCTTCGTGGGCTTCGCGGTACTAGACGTTTCTCCAGAGGTGCAGCAGGCGCGGGAGCAGCTGGACTCACAGCAGTAGCCACTATGTCGACGTCTGTCTCGTCGACTTTACCCCCGGGCAGGGCGGTCTGGCCGGGATGTGCGCGGAGGGACTTGCTCCGGGTGGTGAGGAGTACACGGAGCTCCCCCGCGCGTTCGAAGAGTAGCACGAGGACAGCGGCGAGTTTACTCGTTGGATACGACGACCTGCAGTCCCCAAGGGGTCCCGGTGGATGCAGCAGCATCGGTTATCCAGCACATGAGTGAGGTAATTGATTGACGAACGGACAAGTCAGTGGTCTCGCGCTGGTGGATCCGCAGACGTTCTAAGCTTTGTCTCGTCTTCTCAGTTACCTTCTCGAGGGCGGTCGACGGGAGACCGAATGAAGTCGACATAAAGATTGAGGATTTCGGGGAGTCCTGTGGCGGATTTCGAAGGAGGTTAAGGCTGATCGAGCGCTCGAGGACGCGTCCTCAGGCGACAAAACCGACTCGTTCGTCCCAGTTCCTTGCGGCATGCGCATGCTCTATCCTGCGTCTGCTCATGTTTCTGCTAACACATTGGCAAAAAAAGGTTCAAATGTTGAAGGCCAGCGTCTATATCAAAACCACGTTAATCAGGAGATGCATCCACCTTTGGCCCAGCTGGCCAGCGCACCCCCTACTAGCGATGGGTAGCCGTGATTCACCATGGCCAGTCATGACGACTCATGACCACCCATTGCCAGTAATGAATTATGTATAGGACCCGTCTAACCGCTACCCTATGAAGGGAATCTAAGGAGGCAAAGTATTCCAAGAGCAGTCTACAAGCATCCTATGATAGTATGTTCACTACTGCTCAAGGGAGAATCACGAGATTGAGTACCCTCGCAATCTCTCGCAATTAAGGCGATGTCTGGTATGGTCCCCTCAGCTCAGATATATAGCCCTAGGTAGGGTACCCCTGCCCAGTACCATTTTATCTCGGTCAACCCTCGACGGTCTCTATGGCTGAGCCTCCCCCAGCAGGACTATTGAGCTACTATCACGTTCACCTCTGACGGTTGACCCATCCTATTCCATCCGCGACGCGGGCATGAGATCGAAAGCGCTGTCCTATACTTGTCTGGGCTGCATCATGTAGGGAAAGCAATCCAACAGGATTGAGTGGTTCTAGCACCTGCATATTCATTGCCTGACAGCATGAGAACATCCGGTCGATTTGCCTAGACTGTAATGTATGCCCCATGATTTAACTATTGGGCAGTTAAGCTGACCATTCAACCATAGCTTCTGCATGATCGCCGTACATGGAAGTCGCCGCTAGATTGTGGGCAACGTTCCTGGGTGAGGAGATGATGTTGAAATACCAAATTCGACACCGTACGCGCGGACTGCTGCATGTGAGGTAGATGGGAAGGGACATAATTTGGCCAAGTTACCTGAAGCACTCGACGGTGCAGCGAGTGACGTTCCTCGTTATAGAAGCGGGGCGGTGCAGGTCGCATCATGAGGTACGCAATGCCCCTTGACTCAAATTGACATTCTCATATCCAATGTACATAAGCTATGGCTGGCTCCTACCTCTAGCGAGGCTGATATCGCGAGAGCTAAGATAGAATCTTATTTCAAACGCTAGTCTCAGGAAACCTGTTTCTAATCTCGAAGCCGGGGCTCCCCACCCATCCCCTCCAGACGTACCTTTCGAACTCCCACCTTCCTGATGCACGGTCCTGAGCTCCATTAGAGTGTACGCAGCTGCGGGTGTGGCGGGTACCTTGGAGCACTCTTTCCATTTATGCTGGATCTATGCATCCGCGGCGTCTCTGGGCTCAGTTCCGAATCCCGACGTGCCCCTATTCTCGAGTGCATAAAAGAGATCGCTCAGACGGTCTCCACTCCCCAGACAGGTCAACGCCAGCACATCTACCAGCCTACCAATTCACTACATCTTCTCACCGTGACAATGGCCTGCTCCTGCGCTGACAGCTGCTCGTGAGTCCGCCTGCATGTCCTCCGCACCGACCACAGGCGCTCACCCTCTTATCTCGCACAGCAACTGTACCACCGCACAGCAACTGTACCACCGGCTCCTGCAGTTGCCCCAAAGGCCAGTGCGCCTGCGCTGGGTGCGCTAACAAGGCACACTCCTCCAGCGTACGTCGGTTTCATTTATACGCGGAATCAGCACCTCAGTAATGCCGTCCATGCTGCCAGTGCTCCTGCAAGGGCTCCGGTTCCGGCTGCAACTGCGCTAGCCAAGACAAGGCCTGCTCCTGCTAGGCGATTGCTTTCCTGGACTAGTGACGCACGCGGTGCTCTAGTTTGACTCGAGGAGTTGAGGCTGTATATGTGAACATGTACTTCTTGCTGCAGTGTTGTATCAGTATTGTTTCGTGGAGATAACCTCATAAAACCAACACACATTTTTCCTGAGCCGTTGCCCAGTCTCGAATGCCTCGCTGACTTGTAGCCCAGCTGGCTGCAATCTCCTGCGTCATCGAACCTCACTGATATCGAAAAATGGCAACAAATTTACCTGATTGTTCGCCTATCTACTTTGTATCTACTAACTATTGAGGAGACGCCGTTTACACGTCTATCGTTGACTGATGACGGACTCTTACCCGGACCACATATGGAAAACATACCTAATGCGGCACTTCCCACGACATGTGAAGAATTGTCCTTCTTGTCAAGTCTGAACTGCACTTCCGAAGCCATTCTTTGTACGACATGCACCCAATGCCATAGCGCCCCTCGGACTCCAGAATGTCTCTTCTGTTCAAGAATCTCCGAGTGCATCAGGTCTTCGGGGCCAACACCGATGTCGGCAAGACCTTGTTAACCTCCGCGCTCGTTCGCGCTTCCGCGACCAAGCATGAAAGAGTGTTCTACCTGAAGCCAGTGAGCACCGGGCCTATGCAAGATGCAGACGACGAGTTGAGACCGTTCGACCGTGCCGTGTCTGCTTTGGCTCATGCATATCGTCGACTAGACATGTCAAACGCTACATCGGAGCTAACAAGGATCGCCTGCACGCTGCTTGTCTCTATCGATTCTCCGAGCCCTTGAGCCCCCACCTTGCTGTACAACTGGAAGCTGATAAGGAACAGACGGAGGTCGGATACATTTCGTCTCGTCTAGTGGAATAATGTGTATATTGAAGCCATGCGCTGCTCGTTAAGATTCCTGTCCCATCAGATGAGACGTTTGGGAGCGCAGTTGCGAGTCATATCAGGCAGAATGCATCTGGAGCGCCTTCGTATTCTCATATGTACGTCGAGACAGCTGGAGGTAAGGCCTGTCACTGTCGCTGGCGCCTCTTGATTAAATGCACACCTCGCATCCAGGAATTCACAGTCCCTCCTTGTCAGGCACAACCCAAGCAGACGCCTACCGACCGCTCTTCCTTCCGACCATACTGATCGGCGACTCCAGACTGGGCGGTATCTCCTCCACAATCTCAGCTTACGAGTCGCTCATGCTGCGAGGCTACATCGTCGACTGCATTCTACTATTCAAAGATGAGTATTACCGCAACGGCGAGTATCTCGCGCCGTATTTTGCAGAGAAACAGATCAACGTTGCCACCTTCGACCCGCCCCCGCCGCGGCACAGCGATCCCTCAGCGAATTTCGACCTGACGGAAAGATACTACCAATCCCTCGTACCGCCTACGCAAGAAGGCAGCATCTTCAACGTCCTCTCCCACCTCGACGCTTGTCATTCGCGAAGGCTCGAAGAGCTCGAGTCCATGCCCCGCCGTACTCTCGATACCATCTGGTGGCCCTTTGTCCAGCACGGACACGTAAAAGGCGAGCAAGACGTTAACGTCATCGATAGCGCCTTCGGGGACTTCTTCTCTGTATACAACGGACATCGCTCAAAACGGACGAAAAAATCCCTGCTAGAACCGCAATTTGACGGCTCAGCATCGTGGTGGACGCAAGCCTTAGGACACGCGAACCCTGCGCTCACGACGGCCGCTGCGAGAGCCGCTGGGCGGTACGGACACGTTATGTTCCCTCAAGCCACGCACCTCCCGGCCTTGAATCTCGCTGAACGCCTGGTCAAGGATGGACCTGGAAAGGACTGGGCGTCCCGCGCGTTCTTCTCCGACGACGGCTCTACTGGTATGGAAATCGCTCTGAAAATGGCGTTACGTGCATATGCTATTAAGCAGTCGCCCCCGCTTGACATGGCTAATAGGAAGGAACTGGGCGTCCTAGGCCTGAAGGGAAGTTATCATGGCGATACCATCGGCGCAATGGATGCATGCGAAGAGGGCGTTTACACTTGTGAGTGGCATAACGCCAAGGGGTATTGGTTCGACCCGCCTTACGTCGGCATCCGCAAGGGCAAAGTTCATATCACCGTCCCTGAATCCATAGCTCTGCAGTCCGAAGGGTCGGTCAACGGTGACGCCCTGCAATCTTTGTCTCAGGTGTACGACGTGAAACAGCGGTTGGATACACCGTTAGCCTCAGTCTACCGAACTTTTGTAAGCCAAACGCTCGATCGCCTACAGAAAAAAGAATCGCCTGCACTCGCTGCTCTAGTTCTGGAGCCTATTGTCTTGGGGGCCGGTGGTATGATATTCGTGGATCCCTTATTCCAACGTATTCTTGTAGACCTCGTTCGAGAAGCCGAGCCATCGAAGACCCTCCCGGTCATCTTTGACGAGGTCTTCGTAGGTCTCTACCGATTAGGCATGGAAACATCTGGACCGCTCCTCGGCGTGCATCCCGACATATCCGTCCACGCAAAGATACTGACCGGAGGTCTACTGCCGTTGGCCGTCACGCTGGCATCGGACGAGACATTCCAGGCGTTCCTCAGCGAAAACAAGACGGATGCCCTGCTTCACGGTCACAGCTACACAGCCCACCCGGTGGGCTGTGAAGTTGCTAACGAGACCCTCAACATGCTGCAGAAAGTCGTGTGCGGCGACGAATGGAAAGAGGCGCAGGAGAGGTGGTCTGGCGCAGGAGACACGGATTCCCCCCGTGTCTTCAGCCTGTGGGATCAAGGCTTCGTAGAAGCCATATCACATCTGGCTCCTGTCAAAGAGGTGATGACTCTGGGAACGCTCCTCGTTATCAAGACGCAGGATGATAGCGGTGGTATGGACCACTCGATTTCCCCCTCAGTTCCCACTCGCTTATTGTACCTGCCGACAGGATACCGATCTAACTCTGCGCAAGCCCTGCTGAAACCGGTGGTTGCTGCGTTGAATGAAGAGTCTCCGAACGCATTCGGGATGCATTTCAGAACCCTTGGTAACGTTGCTTACTTCATGACCAGTCTGAACAGCCCGTCAAAGACAATCCGCGCGGTAGAAGATAGAATATGGTCCGCTCTATCGAATGCACATTCATGATGTGATAGAAATACATAAAGCAACAGAAAATCCAGGACTAGTCCTGTCGCTGAACAGTCCCGACAGTCTAACTCCGCCAGTATTGTGCCAGGTCATGAATCCGATCCAGGACAGCGGTGAAATAAGATGTCTCGTTGAGAAGGGCTTCGAAATGTTTGATCGCTTCCTCTTCTGTAAGATCCAGTCGGAACTTATCTTGGATCTGTTCGTGAACGTCGCGATGCTTGATGTCGGGAATATTGGCATCGATCATGAGCATGACCAAGTTGAGAATGAGGTTGGCGCTCTTGCGAAGAATGGTGAAGGCCGTGAAGCAGAAGTTCTTGAAGCGCGCGTAGTGAGTAGACTGGGCACCGCCCATGCCGTCTACCATTTCCTTGCACACCTTCACCGGAGGCGGAAATGGCTTAGGGTCGCGTCCAAGGATGTACCCAAAATCGACTAGATGGCAAACCTATCAGGGAATCCACACGCACAATATGTCTGTAGACTCACCATGGAAGAAATGCCCTGGAGAGGGGAGCGTCAGCAAATCAGTAAGTAGTCTTATGTATGTGCTTACCATCCGGTGTCAGCAGTAGATTGTCGAGATGCCGGTCGCCTACACCGAGAATATAGGTGACGACACAATACCCAGCTGAGATATTATGAGGTACGGTGAGGAAGAGCCCAATCTTTGACACGCACCGCAGCTCCTAACAAACGTATCGATAACGCTTGGCTCCACGCCGTACGTGCCTACACTTCCTTCATCAGGATAATTGGCCCGAAGGTAATTTAGCAAGGTCCCGTGTTCGCTGACGATAGCAGCAATGGTTTTGCTCGGAATGAATTGTGCCATTCCCTGGAGTGGACCAGTCGCTAGAACATCATAAGGAATGAGCTTCAAGTCCAAATTCTCCTTCCGTAGAAGTCGGTCCATGAGGGTGAACAACTGGATGACCAGTTGATCCTGCCGCATATCGTCTCCGTCTTTAAATATGACAGGATACTCGGACCCATCTGAACACTGGAAGTACAGCAGCATCGGGAACAAGTTTGATTTGAAGACAGACGACTTCTCGGCAATTATTCCCGTCACTTCGTACTTGGCGTTCAGAGGTAGAGGGAGGGGCTGCATCGACGCGAGACCATGTTTGGAGTCGGCAAGGAAGGCACGCAATTTCTCAATCTTCTTCGGTCGGGGATCTTTGGATGTACGGAGGTCGCGAGCTCGCTTGGCCAAAGTGGCGACCAACTCTGCTTGACGAAGCATGGAATGTCTACGCTCTTGGCCATTCTCAGCCTGTCAAGGGTACGTTTCGAGTTAGTCATCTCCGGCGAGGGCTAGCCGATCATTGCTCTGACCTCCAGAATCTTCTGCATAAAGTTGAAATCAACTCGCCCATACATCTTCGCCATCAATTTATCCTCCAGAGCGACCTCTACCATGAGGTACCAGTGGAATCGGTTACCCAGGACTGGATTCTGAACAGCTCGAGCAATGAGGAAGTCAGCGAGGCCACTGTCCTCATACGATATTGCGCTAGCTGCCGATCGCGATGACCGCTGCTCGCTAGCCACACTCTCGAATTTCAGAGCTTGCACAAGTTGGAGGAGGTATAGCATCAGCTCCTGGATGAATTCCGTCAGCGTTCCTTGATATGCTGAACAGAGAGATGGTCAACGTACATCATCTGGAGCCCGACTCAGCTGTTTCACGGCAAACGCCCTGACTCTCGAGTCAACCGTATTTGGGCCAAGCAGTTCTAGCGCGTCGTCCGTGTCTATCTCGGTCCACATCGGCAGTAGCTCCTCAACGGCCTGCCTTACCTCTGACGCGTCGCGCCACGTCACGGACTTTAGGAACTTCGTAAGGCCGCGTTTGTCCCTGGTGAGGTAAAAACGAAATTTCCATATGAGATCTTTCTCTTCCGATGTCAGCCGTTCAGCCGGTGAATAGTTGAGGATATGCTGGTCAATGGCTGAGCAGGGCTTTAAGACGGGGTAACGGTAGTAGACTTACAGATAACTCATCCCGGATCTTGGCATTCGGCTTCAGCTCCCTGTCGTAGGGACCGCTTCTGTGACTGCGCACAAGTCGACGATGTTTATCTTCTACAGGATTCTCCCGCGTTACCTCTGGGTCAACGATAGCCCAGAGATATGTGTTATCCGACAGAGACACTGCGGAGGTAGAGGGTTGACTCGGAGTATGCGTTGCCGCAGCTGTCACCGCTGTGGATGCAGAGGGGGCTGGAGTTTCCTATACGCCACAAGAACAGTGGTCGAGCGATGCGAGCCAGTCAGCCATGTATAAGGCGATGAATGCAAAGGACGTACAGGTTCGCTGAATATCACAGGGAAATCAAAACGGGGCATATCGATATACAGGTAAAGGTTGTCAGACTTCTCAGTCTCTGCCTGACATGCGGGTATAATCAGTCGGCTGTCCTTAGCTCCAGAAACAAGCTAACTTAGGCTACGTACCGCATGTATCTCTTCCATCTTCCTGAACGCAAGGTTGTCTAGCCAGTCTGTCTTTGGTAGATCGCCTCGCTCGTACTTCTTGACGAGCTGTATTAAGGGGGTCGCATAACGTGAGGTAACATCAGATACAAGGGTACTCAGATGCACACACCTTCTCTAGCCTGCCCATCTCATCTCGCGTGCCGAGCTTACTTGGCGTCGTAGTCTCCACCGAGCCGTCCGCCTCTCGATCTGGCCACAAGAGGAGTCGATGCTTCCCTCTGCGGAGAGTCCTGTCATACGTCGGCATGTTTGCTCGGTGTGTCAGTTCGAGAAATAACATACCATTTCTTTCCAAATAATCTGAAAGTCGTGCCGCCGATTGGGACAGCAGACCGTGGACCCGCAATGTCCCAGACTGTGAAGGTTATCTGGGAGCTAAGGGGTAGATCACAGTAGCGTATTGGCAGCGTTATCCACTCGTTCCATCTGGAAAATGTATCATTTTTCCCGCTTGATACACGTTCGAGGGGAGAGTGCATACGTATAGCTGTTCTTGAAGGCTTTGAAGGACGTTCGGAAGGGTATCGTGAGAGGTTTGTTATCTGCCACCAGTTGGCATGTCACATAGAGATCAGCGAGAGTCCTTCATCCTCCCCAAGCATCGTTCAATCTCAAGCGGTACCAGTAGACCAACTGGGGTACTTACGATTGTTGTACACCATGGAACCTCAGATCAGGATTCTCAAGGAGCTCGGTGAAGGATTTCTTTGGTATCGTTCCTTCTAGCTGTGAGCTAAGCACCTCTCAAGTTACGACGATGTTCAAGAATCACTGCCTTGACCACTCACATCCTGAATGTCACCGGCTGCTTTAGATCGCTCAGCTTGGCGAAGGTAAAGTCGTCTCTATTATCCTTATCCATTATGGTTTAGACGGTTCGGTGCACCAGATCCACAAAAAGAATGCCAATTTGAAGTTAAGAAACGAGGGTTCAGCAGGTATGAGCAGAACCTGTGGCTGATAATGAGGACCGCTATAGCCGTAGAACCCTAACCCGAATATGCCGCTGCCACTGGGTGCCATCAATCTCATAGGTCAGGGTGTGCGGTAACCTGTGGTTAGGCCCCTACCCCGGACAGGGACCTCTTTCTATCGACTGGGTCCGCTGCTGCCCGTATTACAGGATGGTGTAAAGCCCATATATGTTTGTCTGATTGGGTACTGACACCCATATCAATCCGACGGGCTCTGATGATAGGGGCTTTATCCATATCGAGCAACCAGGGTAAGACTCTCCCTCCAACAATATTTCCATCCACGCCCCCATCAGCATGCCGTGGAACTCGTAACCTCCCGCAATAGGAGTATGCCCATTTAGAACGTCCCAGGTAAGCCGCAGGCACGGGGCACAGGGACATCACCATTTTTGACTTGCGAAAAAAGAGATAGCAGTCGTATCGTCCGTCCGCGTCCGCTTTCCCGGTAATTCAGCTGATGTTCGGCCACATTGCAAGTAAGCACACGCGTCTTAACGGCTATCCTCCTAGTGGCCACCTCCGATAGAAGGCAGGATCGCAATCGTATAAGAAGACCACGCTGTGAGACTCGAATCAGACTCAAGTTATCGCCCATTCATCATGAAAGCAGCACTATACGACTCGCCTAAGCCCTCCCCTCCTTACCTCACCCTCACATCCCTTTCCTCCCCGGTGCCCACCGCCGGATCCATAGTAGTCAAGGTCCTCGCCTCCCCCGTCCTGCCCTACGCCGAGGAGATCTTTCGCGGCGAACGCATCTACCCAAATCTGCTCCCCTACGTCCCCGGCGGCGGCGCAGTCGGCGTGGTTACCGCCGTCGGCCCCGACGTCGCCAACCCGCTCCTCCAGCCCGGCACGGGCCACCTCGTCTACTGCGACCTGACCATCCGCGCGCGGGACGACCCCCGCTCGCCCGCGATCATGCTGCAGGGCATCAGCGCGCCCGACGCGCGCGCGCAGCAGGTGCAGGCCGTGTTCCGGCACGGCAGCTGGGCGGAGGAGATGCTCGTGCCCGCCGAGAACGTCTTCGTCATCCCGCCCAGTATCACCCTCGACCCCGCGACCCTCGCCGCCTTGGGCAGCGTCCTCGTGCCGTTCGGCGGGCTGTGCGACGGCGACATATGCGCCGGCGCCACCGTCGTCATCACCGGCGCGACGGGCCACTTTGGCAGCGCGGCGGTGGCGGCCGCGTTGGCGCTGGGCGCACGGAAAGTCATCCCATGCGGTCGCTCCGAGCGCGGCGTCGCAAAGCTGATCGAGGTCTTCGGCGCGCAGCGCCTCGCGCCGGTCGTCCTATCCGGAGATGCAGAGAAAGACAAGAAAGCGATTATCTCCGCCGCGGGCACAGGCTTCGAGATCGACGTGCACTTCGACATGCTCCATCCTTTGGCGCCGCCCTCCCTCGTCGCAACCGTCATGTCGACCCTCCGGCGCGGCGGCACCTCTATCCTCATGGGCGGGCTCACGACGGACGTGCCGCTCCCGTACCGCGAGGTCCTGTTCAAAGGCATCGTCGTGAAGGGCGTTTGGATGTACGAACGCAGGCTGATCCCGAAATTGCTGGGCTTGGTGGAGGGCGGATTGGTGGATCTGAAGATGTTTGATGTCGAGACCTACAAGCTGGACGACGCCAATGAGGCGGTAGTAGCCGCTGCAAAGCGGAATGGGGCGTGCCAGACCACTGTCATAGTATGCAATCAGGTGTAGCCTAATAATCCTCGTAGTAATCAGCCACGATATGAAAAACAGAAGTTATGTGCACAAGGGACTGATAGACAAAGGATTGACGTGCACAGACACAGCACCCGTAATATCGAAACCCTGGCAAGCTGGAGTGTCAAATCCCGTTCCTCGACAGTGACGGCACCGGCTAGCACCAACGATCGGAATCACCACAGAGCACTGAACAGCACACGTTGCTCCAAGGACTCAAAGCAATATAACCCGGACGGTCGGGAATACGAGACTGCGTCATTATTTCCACCCCAGTCAGGAACAGTAAGGTACAGAAGCCGGTGCACTAAGCAGTGCTTTTAGCGTACGCAACAGCAACCCCACCACCACAGGCATTATGCCTTATAATCCGGGCGGAGCGAACGGACAGTCTTGCCTGTAACGCAGCCCAATTAGTCACCCCTCGTAATTCACAGGAAGTCGGTTCAAACAGCACTGACCAGCCCTCCAAATCTCCTGCTCGTCAATCTCCTTGAGCTCCTTCGCCAGATCCTCGCGGTACGTCTTCCGGCTGTTAAACTCGAGCGCCTTCCTCGTCTCCGTGCCGTTCTTCACCGACTCGTACAGCTTCTCGAAGATCGGCAGGTTCGCCTTCTCGAAGACGGGCGCCCAGTCGAGCGCGCCGCGCCGCGCGGTCGTCGAGCACGCGTTATACATGTAGTCCATGCTAGAGTGCCACGTGAGATGCGTGAGGGAAAGGGGTTTAGGAAGGGGGGCTCACCCCTTCTCGCCGATCAGGGGGTAGAGGGATTGCGTCGCCTCCTCGACGGTCTCGTTGAAGGCCTCAGAGGGGGAGTGGCCGTTGGCGCGGAGGACCTTGTACTGGGCAAGGAACATGCCCTCTGTAGTGGGGGATTAAAAGGGCAGCACTAGAATGTTAGAAATGGCACGCACGAATACCACCCATGAGCTAGAAGAGACAAACACATGAGCCTCAAGAAACGAATCCAGATCCGACAAGACACATACCACACCACGCTCGCCGTACAGATCCGAGTAGACCTCCTTCCCAAATGTCGTCTCATACATGTACCCACTCCCAATCCCCACGCCCAGCGCGACCGCCTTCTCCTTCGCCTTGCCCGTCACGTCCTGGAACACAGCGATACTGCTGTTGATCCCGCGGCCCTCCTTGAAGAGCGTGCGGACGGTACGCCCGGAGCCCTTGGGCGCGACGAGGATGACGTCGACGTCGCTGGGCGGGATGACGTGCGTGTCCTCCTTGTACACGACGGAGAAGCCGTGCGAGAAGTAGAGCGTCTTGCCCTTGGTGATGAGCGGCGCGATGGTGGGCCATGTGGAGGACTGGGCGGCGTCGGAGAGGAGGTTCATGATGATCGTACCGCGGTTAATGGCTTCCTCGATGGGGAAGAGTGTCTCGCCGGGCACCTATTTCACGGATACCAGTCCATTAGGTGTAACATATTCAGCAAGTCGTTACATACCCAGCCGTCCTCCTGGGCGGCCTTCCAGCTGCTGCCGCCCTCCCGGACACCGACGATGACGTTCAGGCCGTTGTCACGGGCGTTCAGGCCCTGGCCGTGCCCTTGCGAGCCATAGCCGATGATGGCAAGGGTGTCGTTCTTGAAGTAGTCCTGGAGCTTGGACAGCGGCCAGTCGCTGCGCTCGTACACGACCTCCTTCGTGCCCGCAAAGTCGAGCGTTTTGATGCCACGGACAGACTAAGCCAAGGAGTCATTATTCGTGTTATGAGGCTCTGTATAAGTCGCGACACGCACTGCAACGGTGGATCTGCGGGGGACGTTCGACACGGCCGCGCGCGCGAGGACAGAGTAGGACGCCTGCTTGGGCGCGACCTTTGGGCTCGCGCGGGACGCACGGCGGGACGCTGAGCGCAGGGCTTGGGCAGGGCGGGATGCAAAGGACATGGCGGGGATGGACTGGAGAGCGTTCGAGTCAGCGGGGCTATATAGCGGCCTTTGACGAGTCGGAAAAAGATGTCGGCCGAAAATAGCCGAGTATCGAGATCGGGCAAGTCCACTCTGCTGTGGCTTGCTTTGTTTCTTGGATTTGTAGTGTGGACTTGCTTGGGAGAACACATATTTACTGCGAAATCGCTCATTGCAATGTCCAAGTTCCTTCGACCGGCCACCTTGAGGAGTATAACCCCCAGGTTGGCCTCTCGAAAGCAGACATTGGCGTCCCCGTTGTGGTACGAAACGGTGAGGGCCGTGATTGACGCGTACAAACAGCAGCACGCTTACCGTTATTGCAGAGTGCACGAATTTGTGTCCGCTGTCGTCGTCAGTACTCTGCGCAACCCAGCCGACCTGCTTCGGCTGCTGCTGCTCTCAGACCCTCCGTCTCTCCTGATCGCAGCGGTACAACGCCGGTTGACCTGGTCGAGGAACACCTTCCAGGATGCAATTTCAACGAGAAGAAAGTGAGGATCAGCTGGGATGATGGTACACGCTCACACTTGTACGCCTACCTGTCCTGTACTATCTACCAGAGGCTCAATACATCATATCTGCAAGTCATCACATATGGCTCCGTGACCACTGTCGCTGCTCCAAGTGCTTTCACCCGATAACGAAGCAGCGACTATTGAATACTTTCGAGGCAAGCAGCTATGCGCCACTCGCAAGATGTAAGACTGAACGAGGCCGGCACTTTAGATTCCGCCCGGCATCGCACCCCTGCAAGTAACACCAACATCAGAGGGCTTATCAGTTGTCTGTAAGTCCTGTCGGGAAGCCTCCTCGCATCACCGCGGTGATAATCCGTGAAGGGCCAGAGAATCAGCCGCACGTTTCCGTGTACCCGTGGTCCTGGCTCCGGCAGAACTCGTACGATCCGCCTCTGTTTAGTGAACAGACCTCTACCAAGTAGGTTTGCAAAACATGGGCCACCACCTGTAGCTATATCTAACTCTTGGCTCAGGAAGGTGCTATGGGGTTCCAGCATCAAACAGGACCCACCGACAGTCGACTACGCCAAAGTGATGCACCCAGACGACGCCGGGTTGTACCAGTGGCTCTCAAAAATCGTGAGCCCCCATCCACAACCAAACCTCTGAGCCCCTTTACAAGCGCCGCACGCAGGACGAATTCGGCTTCTGCTTCGTCAAAGGCGTCCCGCCGACACCCGAGGCGACCGAAGAGCTTTCCACCCGGATCGGCTTCATCCGCGAAACCCAATGTCCGCCTCTTCCCCCTTCCCCTCTTCTCCACTTCTGACTGACGCTAACGCTAGACGGCAAATTCTGGGACTTCACCTCCGACCTCGCGAAGGGCGACACAGCCTACACCACCCTCGCGCTCGGCGCGCACACCGACAACACCTACTTCGTACGCTCCCCTTTCCCCTCCCCTCCTCCACTTCCCAAGCTAACCCCCTACCCCCCAGACCGACCCCTGCGGCATCCAGCTCTTCCACCTCCTCTCCCACACGCACGGCAGCGGCGGCGCCACCCTCCTCGTCGACGGCTTCCGCGCCGCCTCCCTCCTGCGCTCGCAACACCCCACCGTATACGCGCTGCTCGCCCGCGTGCCCGTCGCCGCGCACGCCGCGGGCGAGCCGGGCGCGCTCTACGTCCCGAGCCCGCGCTCGGGGTTCCCCGTGCTCGGGCACGATCGGGCCACCGGCGAGCTCGTGCAGGTGCGGTGGAACAACGATGACCGCAGCGTGGTGCGCGGCGTGAGGGGGGACGAGATGGAGGAATGGTAGACGCACCGGTCACTTCTGGGTTGAAGCAGGTCTGACTTGGGTTACGCAGGTATAACGCCATACGGACGTGGCACGGGCTGTTGGCCAGCCCGGACGCGGAGTATTGGGTGCAGCTGGGGCCGGGTACGGCAGTAGGCACGTGCCCACTCCCTCCTGAATCACATCCGCCGTTGCTGACGTTTAAATAGCTGTGGATAATCACCGCGTGCTGCACGGCCGGTCCGCGTTCGACGGCAAGCGCCGCATGTGCGGGGCCTACATCGGCGTCGACGAGTACAAATCCAAGCTAGCCGTGCTGCGCGAGAAGTTCGAGACGCCGCAGACCGAAGGGGGGCGCAGCATATGGCATCCATACATTTGACAACTGGGCAGCGCCGCTGACCGAAGGGGGGCGCAGCTTCTGGCATCCATACATCTGACAACTGGGCAGTGACTATATGGACGCATGTAAGAGTATATAGATATTTCAGGTTCGGTTAGCGGCGGAACAAGCAGAGTATTTCCCATCTCTATTCCACAAAAGCAATTGGATACGCAGTGTACAATTGTATGGATACAGCAGTGTAAATCATTAAGAACATCGAATCCTATATCTACTTTTCACAGCCCCTACTGCCTCTGTATCGACTTCAACACATACCCCTCCAACCCTCCACATATCCACAACTCCTGCACGCTCGGGCCGACAGGCCTAACTCTATACGTCCTCTCCCCACCCTCCATACCGCTCACCACCACCCGCCCGTCCTCCATCCCGACACTCACCTGCATGCCCTTATGCACCGTCAGCTCCCCATCCTTCCCGCCCGCGCCGCGCTTCCCGTCCCGCGCGTACGCGCGCGTGAGGTCCTCGACGAGCTCCGGGCACTCGACGCACACCAACCCATTGTTGATCGCGTTGCGCTTGAATATATCCCCGAACGAGCCCGCGAGCACGAGCGGGACGCCCGCGGCCTTGAGCGCCGTCGCCGCCTGTTCTCTCGACGAGCCCGTGCCAAAGTTGTAGCCCGCGACGAGCACCGCGCCCTCCTTCCTGCCGGGATCCGACTGGGATGGGTGCACGAGGGATGCAACCAGTGACGCGAAGGACGGGTCGTAGTTCTCCATGACGACCTCCGCCTGCCGCGCGAGCGTGATGTCGTCCTGGTAGGTGTATTTGCCCGGGTAGATCCCGTCCGTGTTGAGGTTGTCCTGCGGCGCAAAGAGCAGCGCGCCCGCGAACGTCGGCGGGAAGCCCGGGAGGAGCGGCTCCCTCTGCGCACTGCTCTCCGCGCTGCTCGTGGCGGAATCAGGATCTGCCACCGCGAAGAACGTCGGCGCCTTCGCTGGGGGCGGCGAGCCCGACTCAGGGCCGGCGATGTAGCCCTTCACCGCGCTCGCAGCGACCACCGCGGGGCTCGCGAGGTACGCCAGCGCCTTCGGGCTCCCCATGCGTCCCTTATAATTCCGATTGGTGGCGCTGATCCCCACCTCGCCCTCCTCCAGCAGCCCCGTGCCCAGCCCGATGCACGGCCCGCACCCGCTGGGCAGCACCTTCGCGCCCGCGCGCACGAGCGCGTCCCAGTCGCCGCTCGCCTCCGCCGCGCGCTGCACCTCCGAGCTCGCCGCGGCGACGTAGAACTCGACTCCCGGTGCGACTTTGCGGCCCTTGACGACTTGCGCGGCGGCGGCGATGTCGGACGCGCGCGCGTTCGTGCACGAGAGGAGGTACGCCTTGTTGATCGGGATGTGCTGCGCCTCGAGCGCGGGCAGCGGCGTGGAGACCTTGACGCTGTTCGGGCCCGAGACGTGCGGGACGAGCGTCGAGAGGTCGAACACCAGGTGCGCGGCGTACGCCGCGCCGGGGTCGGAGGACAGGGGAGACGCCTTGAGCGCGTCGAGGCGCGCGCGGTTGATGCGCGGGTGCTCGGGCGGGGGCGGGATGCCCGAGTGCGCGGACGCGAACGTGCGCAGCTCCATGCGCGCGAGCGCGCGCTCGTACCAGTCCAGCAGCGCCGCGTCGGCGGGGAACACGCCCGCGAGCGCGCCCCACTCGGTGGTCATGTTCGCGATCGTGAGGCGGTCGTCGACGGCGAGCGCGGCGACGCCCTCGCCCGTGAACTCGATCGCGGCGTTGAGCACCTCGTCTTTGTTGAAGCTCCCGCAGAGGGCGACGATCACGTCCTTGCCGGTGACGCCCGGGGCGAGCGTGCCCCGAAGCTCGACGTTGACCATGCGGGGGACCTGCCACCACGTCTGGCCGGTCGCCCAGAGGGCGGCGGCGTCGGTGCGCACGATGGGGGTGCCGACGCAGGCGACGCCGCCGTACATGTTGCTGTGGCTGTCGGAGGCGACGGTGAGCGTGTGCGGGAAGGCGTAGCCCTCCTCGACGAGGACCTGGTGGCCGATGCCGCGGCCGGCGGGGTAGAAGTCGATGGCGTGCGCGCGCGCAAAGGCCTCGATGGCGGCGTACTTGGCGAGGTTCTTGGGGGATTTGTTCTGCACGTCGTGGTCGAGGGTGAAGACGGGCTGGCGGGGGTCTTTGATGCGTGTCGCGCCGATGGACTTGAACCTGTGCGCGCGGGGTAAGACCGTAGGAGACTACAGAAGTGTATGGACTGACTTTGAGATGACTGGGCCTGTGTTGTCGTGGGTCATAACGTGCTGGGGCCGTATCATGACATAGTCGCCGGCCCTGACCAGCTTGCCTTCAGGCAGGCCTACAGCGTACTTTTGCACGACCTTTTCTATCACAGTTTGCGGTGTCCTTGGGGTAACGGAGACTGTCGCGAAACGCCTGCGAGAGCCGTGCGCGGCCCAGCGCAGCAGAGGCGAGCGCATTCTGCTGTTGAGTTAGCAGCAGAGCGACTGAGCCAGGACGAGCAGAGCGAAGGCAGGCGCAAAGTGCAATGGCAGGATAAAGATTGGCCCTTCGGACGCTTCGGACTTTGCCAGAAGCGATCGACAGGTGAGCTAAAAATAGACGCGATTCAACATGGACAACGTATACGTAGGTCTAAACAAACACCTGCGACTCTGGATCAGAGGGGTCGTCAGCATCTCTGTCGCCCTCAGCGATGTTGAAGCTGACGCTGCCTGCTGACGGCCGCGCATACCGCGATAGAACATACACTTCAGAGGTAGTCGGTATCGATTATGTCAACCATCCCAATCATACAACGCTTTACAATATTCTTCTTACAATCGTTCCCAACTTCGCCAAATCGCAGCAACCCCTTAGATAGCACCCTTCTCCCTCAAAGTCTCCTCGGCGCGTTCCTTTGCCTCAGAGCTGACGTTGGGGTCTATAGACCGTGAGTACTTTGATTCACACGTCTCGAAACCTCGCACTCACTCTTCATCGTAGCCTTGAGACCAGCGTTCACCCGCATGTCGTCCTTCTCCTCCTTCATGGGGTAGTGCACCTCCTCGGGCTGCTGCTCCATTTCCTCGACAATCTCGCGCGAGTGCTCCTTCGCCTCGTCCGAGACGTTCGGGTTGTTTATCGCGGCCTACCGTACAATCGGGTTAGCCTTTGCTCACGAGTGTGCCACAGCGAAGACGGGGGGGGGTCACCTTGTGGCCTGCGACGACGCGGCTGGGGTCGGATTCGAAACCACCACGGGAAGCCATTGCGTATCAGGTATTAGGCTTGGTGGAAGGCTGCAGCGAGTGCTGTCAGTGCTCGTCTCCCGTATTTATGCGCGGCGGGGAGGCCATGACGTTGTGACGAAGATCATGACGAAGGACTGCGTGGAGCGGGCAGGCCCAGCACGGGATTCGCGAACTGCTCATCGATTCTGCTCGAGACAAATGCAATTCTTTCACAAAACGCTTCCGCCACACGGCAACGCCCGCCTACGCCCGAAGCGGCAAAGCGCCTTCCAAACACGGCAGAAGAAGCGATCGGGAAAGAGTTAGAGTCGATGCGCGGGCGAGTGACGTCTGCGCGATGTAATCCCGCTCACTCTTCTCCGCATCGGCTCAGTTTGTCTTGCGGGGAGGCTATATAACGCGACGGCCCTGACCAGACTTTGCAACTAGTACCACACCCACCATCCACCCACCACACAACATGTCTGGCCCGTACAACATGGGATCCGGCGGCGAGCCCGGCGTCGATCGGCAGACGTACAACCCGCAGGCGGACGCGCGCCTCGACAGCGCCGGCTTCGAGGCCAGCACCGACCCCGAGCTCGTCAGCGTCGCCCCGCGCGGCGCGGACAACCAGCCCACGGCCGTCAACGCCGCGCGCGAGGACAAGGAGGCGGAGGAGAGCGAGCTCAGCGGGCGGATCCCCAAGGGTGCGTGTTTCTTGCTTGTGGAGTGGGACGGGGCTGCTGCTAACGGTCTCGGGATCGTGCAGGGGAAGTCGACGCGCTTGTGGGCGAACTCGGCCCGGACGAGCGCAACGTCCGCGGCAAGACGCGCGGGGTGCGGGTCGACGCGTACAAGCAGGAGAAGGACCTTGACAAGGCGTTGGCGGATATCGACCGTGCCGAGCAGGACGTGGAGATTGGCGCTGCTGACGGGCGCCATGGGCTGTGAGGAGCGTTGAGCGAAGACATATGGAAATTACTTGTATTGTTATTGTATTTCGCGCATTAGTGCTGTATAATGAAGTGTAACTGCGCCGGGAAAGCTAGGGCGTCTGAGGTTACTCACGCAGGCTGACTTGCGACACATCTAATGTTCCGACCTTGGACGGTGTCTATTCACGCTAGACGACTGGATGCAGCAAAACTGTAAGGCATGGATTCTAAGATACCAACGGTCGTTCTCGTCAGGATGATGCACGGTTGGAACAGACGAGATTGGGAGGATGATATCGGTGGCACGCAAGGAACAAAAGTGCGGCGGTGAGCGCCGCACAGCCTAGGATCAACAAATGAAAGAACGGAACATATTATCATATACTCTCACCTCTATCTGCCGCGGAAGCCAGTCCCATGACATGACAGAAATGCAGATGAAGAACGCGTACGCGCCACAACTGCGCATACCCAAGATCGAGGAATCCTCGGGATCGATCGTATGCATATTACCTCCGAATATGAGAAGTCGGTTAAAGTGGAGCGTCGACACGGGTTCGCGGGTGGACATGAATGTCTATGCTAAGAGATAAGATAGCTACTTAATGACAAAGCCATAGAGACTCCTCCGGATTATCAGGGTCCAGTCTCGGGGGCGTGGTATTAGGAGGTCCCAGTCGACACGGATACGCGAGCGAAGACTGGTCTCGCAGTCCATAGCTATCGTCCGCGGCCGTGTTCCGAGTCCAAGGATGGCGACTGCCTACTGTGTTTGTGTGGCCGGGATGCCTGTTGAACCCGTCCCAGGCGACGGGACACCAAAAGAGATCAACTGACACGCACATGATTTTCGACGGCCCGCAGCGCGAACGAGCTGCCCATTCCTCGTCGGATGGAGGGAGACAGAGGACTGAGGACAGAGGACTGAGTAGCGAACCGCAGCTTCCGGAAGACACGGCCTTATACCATCGGACACCACTCCAAGTTCGCTCACCAATCCCTGGATGCTTCGTGCGCGTCACAGTCGGCCAGGCCGAGCCATGTTCCATTCGTCCCTCAGGTATTCCTCCTCCGCCTTTTCCAGCAGGTAAGACGCGCTTCGCAGCCGCGAACGAGAGGCGCATCCCGCAGCTTCTGCCAGTCAGACCCGGGCGGATATTCATATGCCACACCCACAGCTTGTGTAGCGTTCCGATTTTGGACACTGCGCAAAAATGTGCCTGGCAGACACGCAACTCCCAAAGGAAAGAAGAGGGCGGTGGCCTGCTCCTTCGACGGTCGAGCGGGACAGTAATCCAGCGTGCATACCAGCGTCTTCCAACGCAGAGGCGGCGTGTTGATTCCAGCTAGGCTGGTGTAAGGACGTTGCTGAGGTTATACTCTGCATGTATTGAAGGGCCGTTCACTCAATACTAACGTTCTCGACGGTCTTGATGTCGAGGATCAGGCCTAGGTTCCCAAAACTTCTCTTCCGCTCAATTTTGCAGAGGCTCAGCGGGATTAATGCCCGACTATCGAGCCCACGAGGCAAGTTGGTCCACACAGGATCCATCCCCGAGCCATAAAATTCTCTGCGATCATCAGTGAATCTAGCAAGCTCACGTTGAAAGCAGGTGCATGCGCCACCAGGCACCTGCAGATATCGGACGGGAAAACAATAGAATCCAAAACGCGCGACGCCAGCCTATGAGGGGGACATACATGCATGGAATTGCGTGCATGAGCGAGGTTATATGCAACTGCTGAGCCAGGTCGTGAGCCAATTCTGGGTCGGATGTGTACTTCTCCAAGGCAGTAACTCCAGGACCACGCCGCGGGTGAGACCAACATTTCTGGCGAACTGCCTTACGACCCCAGCGTGTCACGTACAATTAACCTTCGTTGTCTTCCACCCGTAATACCGATATCGTAGGCAACCTGTCCTCCTCTTCTTGTACATACCACTCCTTTAGACGTTCCATCACTTCCGCCCATTCCTCCTCGGTAACCGCACCCCGAATAAAAGCATCCTGAAGACCGAGCTCTTCCGCTCGCGCCCAAGCTTTCTTCAACAGGAAGATATACTGTCTGACGTCCCGCCGCCAGCGCTCGACATATGGACGACCATCAGCTAGGAACGGCGGGAGCGCCACGCTCGAGTTGGCGCGTAAGTATGCTATGAATTCTTCTTGGTAATCAACAGGGCGTGTTCTGCCCTGCAGACGGCTGAGATAGCGTACTCAGGAAAGGTTGATCCAGTACAGCGAGAGCCGATTACTTACTGGCCGTTGAAGAATGGGTCGATTCCTTGTGCTTCCAGCGCTCTCTCACTATTTTCGAGCTCTAGGAGCATGGTCTCTCTACTCGAGAGCATCGCGCTATCGGCAATCGCATGTGCTACGAATAACCCCTGAGCGTAGTCGCTAGGCGCCGTAGCCACCCACATCGGCAGACCAATGAATGCCAGGGCATTAGGAGGTAGCTCTGGATCCAGAGCCAGCACATGGCGATAGAGTGGGCGAATGTATCGTCGGTTAGTCGTAAGTGTAATAGTGGAGTAGTCGACAAACGGAGACGTCGCAAGAGGGCTCAGGAAAGGTACGACAAGGTCGTATCCGGTGGCAAGGAGAATTGTGGTAGGCCCTGAAGTCGACAAAGTAGTGTTATCAGTGAAGACAATGGCCGAATTTGTAAGGTGGGATATTCGAGGCTTGTAGATTGCGCTGGGCACCGGGGGGCTAAAGACCGGCTCGCGTGTATTGTTGTCGTATGAATGATAAACCTGTCAACAGCCAAGATGATGCTGGAGTTAACTGGTCTGCATTAAATATTGCCTGACATACTTTCTTCGCCACTTTGCTGACATGCATTGCTATGTCGCGACCGCTGTCGCCGTTGCCGACTACCACCACAGTGTGATTCCGATACCTGTCGGGCTCTCTGTACCATAGAGAGTGATGCATTTCTCTCTGACCGCTGGACGAGAGCCACATTTCTAGTCCGTCCCATCGAGGTATATGCGGGTAATGGTTGTGCCCATTTGCTACTATCAAATGGTCATATCTCTGCTCCGGCAGCGCAGTGCCGTTCAACTCGATCTCAATTGTCCAATGCGTCTCCTGGTGATAGCTCGCATTGACTACTGTATGCGAGAAATGGATATACGGCGTCAGATTATAGTGTTGAGCAAAATGTTCGTGGTACGCTTGCACAGCACTATAACCTGGGTACAGAGCCGTCATGGGAGGGTAAGGAAAGTGTGGATACGTCACTATCAAAATATTAGGGCTAAGCCCAGTGTGTGGACGTCGTCTCAACAAAGACGCACTGGTCGGATGAGGGAGGTTTGTCCGCAATGAAGGATACATGGGTGTGTCCGGGAGGTCGGGCGGCGACGGTGTATCGGTTTGCGCAAGCCTACGCAAACGATGTAGTTGTACTATTGACAATGAAAGACAGTTGACGCACCAAATCCCACCTACATGGTCTCGCTGCTCGAATAGGTCGATCTGCCAGTCCCTTCGCGTCTCTTGTGGAAGATCAAGCAACGCCTTCAACGCCGCCAGTCCTCCAGAGCCCGCTCCCACTATCGCGATACTCTTGGGTGAACTGGCCGGGTCCGTAGGTATGCAGTGGGGTACTATGCTAGATGCGGAGAGCACCCATTGGAGAGCAGAGCGGAAGACGCGCATCGGTAGATGACACAAGCGACACTCAGGCAGTACGGTAATAATTCGGGCTACAGTGTTCGGTCTGCCGTTCGTAGAATCCTCACCGCACAGATGTGCATTTGCAGGTCAGATCCCAGTGCATGCGTCTGGTCGCTCAGTAGACTTCGATTCAGGTGAAATGAAAGCGGAAGGGCGAACCTTGCTGAATGGCAAACGCCGACTCTTGTACAAAGAATATAATAGGTATCAGGTGCCACCCTTGCATGGGCATGTGGCACAGTGGTAGCGCGCACGCTTTGCATTGCGACTGTGAGTGCGAGATACGCCATGCGTGAGGCCCTGGGTTCAATCCCCAGCTTGTCCACTCTTTTGCTGAGCAAACAAACGTCCCGAACACGTTTTGTGTACCGGCAAAAATCGGGAAGATTCGGGAAGTGCACATTTTCTACAAACTGTGGTGCTTGTGGCGCTCCCGGCATCGGCGACGTAGAATACGTGCGAGAACCCTCAGACAGAGAACGGCGAGAGAAACCTGCAGAACTGAATTTTGATATATCATTCATAAAATTCGCGGAGCGAGCAAGGTGAGGCTATGATAACTCAACGTGTCCTCCGGGATTGCTACGTTTCTGCTCGGATTGGTGCGGCTATTATAAGGGACTAGCATGGTTTTGACGTTCGAGTGGCTATTCCTAGACCTGCAGACTGGCGGCACCGATTACCAGAGTGTTCCAACATCGCAACTCATGACGGAGTAATATGAAAATCGTAGATGACGGGGTAGAGTGTGTCGCCACCGTGTACTCTTCATCCGCTGTGCCGTCGGATATCGGCTCGTATGAGAGCCATGAGCCGATGCTTCCTTGTGGAAGAGGGTGAAGACCTATACAGCGGTAAGTTTAGGTATGGGAGGAATATATTGCTCGTAGAAAGGGTCGACAACGCCGATCACGAACGCACATTCAAACAACGGACAGCAACACGAGAAGGGGTGCATGTTTAATGACCATCTTGGGACCGAGGTAACATACGTGCGCGTCCATACGTATCGTGCCTACGATGCTCGTCCAAGGAACGACTCGACGGTGAAAGCCCAACCGGACGAGCGCAGGATCACCACCGGCAGGGAAAAAAGAACGTGCCTACTGCCCGTCACCACTTCCATCGATTTCCACACGCAGCGTCTCTCGTCTCCTATCGTGTAGGCGTGCCGTTCCAGAGAGCTGGCTCCGCCTGTCCGGTCTCGCGGGTCTCGCGAGTCTTTGCGCGTGTTCAGACGGAGTGAAAGAGATGCAGTTCATTCTTGGATGGGCGCCGTACGCTGTCCTGTCGATGAGGAGTCGCCGCTATTGATGAAGGCAATTTCGATAGTCGTATGGCAGGGCACGCACGCCTGCGCGTAAGGCCGTCAGCGGCGAACGTTATTGTATTGTGAAGCCACTAACCTTGCTGGCAGCACCCTTCGCGGGGGCAACGTGGGGATGGGAGGCAAATATACCTTCATCTTCACGATCAGACGCTCTCAGTGGAAATTTCACGCTGACGGCTGGCCCAAGGAGGGCTCGTGAGACAACTCAAGAACAGGGGAGATTTTTGTGATAGGCCACAAGGGCTGAGAAAGGCGGTCCCGGACACTTGAGCCTCGCGTGAGCCTATCGACGGCTAAGCTTGGTAGAGTCCAGCTTCCCGCCGGGAGCAGCGCGGAAGGGACGGATAATTTTATTCGCGGGCCTACTACAAGGCGCGGGTCATCTAGCCCTTGCCGCACTAGCGTCGCCGCGAAACGTACGGCAAGCGACAGTGGCAGTTCCCGGTCACTGTTCCGTGGCAGTCGACCAAAGCGGGAAAGTACGTACTTGTCCTCCGCCTTTGCGTTCTGAACTGCGTCCTCAGAGTGAAGGGCCCCTGACGTGGCGGCGAGATGAAAGGGGATAATGTTCTTCTATTGGAAAGTGAGTCAGACAAACTGCTGACTGACGTCTCACACTTCAGAAATAAACTTACCATGAGACTACGGAAACGCTCTAGTCTGGGACTCGCGGACCGCCGCAGGCAGGTTGCTGATCGCGGTTACCCTTTTCGCTCTCGATGGAACAAACGCAGACAAAGCTAGAAGCACCTACCCGCGTGCAGGCAGAACGCCTGGCTAGGAACAGCCTCGATCCCCCAGGCACTACCGTCCCAATCAAGCAGGAGAACAAAGCCCCAGCGGTTTTCTGGATCATACACTAAGACCCGCAAACGGCGAGGGTTGTGAATTTTCTGGGGTGATCTCGTCTCCCACATGTGAAGGAAGGATATTTCATACGGAGAGGTATTTGTGCAGCCGAGATTTGTTACCGGACGGCTCTAACATGACAATTGCTGCCATTCCCCCGATAGGATACAGCATGACACCTGGTATGCAGTCAAGGGTGCCGTGGCAGGTGCCTGGAGAACATTCCGCCCAGGGTTATGTTAATCGCTTTGCGAAGGTTTGAACGCAAATGGGACGGATGGTCCATTTACGGAGCTAGAGAAGGTAGCTGTCAGGTCACTGGATGTCAGAGACTATTCTGATCGCTTACGGGTTCACAGCATCCATAGGTTCGTACCAGCAACTGCCTGTCCAGTGAGACGACGGCAGGTTTGCGGCACAGACACCGCTCTACGACGAATGAGGGCTCCACGGGTCTGGACGCCCCCACATACGGCTGTGATTATCGCCGTAGTGGTGTTCCGACGTCGGTCGGCGCTGCGAACACCCCAAGTGTTTTAGAAGGTAAAGCCTCGGTCTCAACCTACCGAAATGGGATTGTGTTCTACGACCCTTACGCCACGGCCAGCCATCGTGGGTCGCTAACGCGCCGCTGCAGGATTGCTGCGGCGCGATTCTGTGGAGCATTCGGCTTCCTGAGAGCGCACTGGAATTAGTGCAGCACAACTTTGACGAGTCGGGACAAGGAGGAGGAGGAGCAGAGGTGACCAACGCGGACGTGCTACTGGAGAGGGCGCCGCGTTGATGTCATACCTCATGCGCAGATCTATTCTACAGGTGGAGTCGTTAGAGTAGTGGGGAACGTCGGCAACGGCGACGAGAAGCACTCAGTGGCTGTACTCAACACGCAAGACTCGCAATTCTCTCTCGCAGAACTGTGGCACCTCGCCAACGTCAGACGCCGCAAAGTACCCATTGATGCTTCGGTAATTGTTGCGATCAACCTCCCACCGATCTGAATCCTGCTGCCGGTTCTAGGCAGCCTACGACAGAAGTTTGCATTTTCCTGGTGAGTTTTACGTCTTTTCCTTCCCTCCTGGCTGAAGATTGGGCAGGAATAATTGTGGACGAATTGCCAGCACCGGCGCAAATCAGCGAGTTCGAAAATTAGAAGCCAAACTGGCGGTCTCCTTTGCTGTAGCCGGGGGCGGTCGTAGGTTACCGAGACACGCGTGGAGCCCACGTGCGATTCATGCACCCCGCACCAACTTCGAATCTAAGCGGCTGTAAGCGCTCTTCCTGGACGAAAAGGTATTTATTTTCACCCCCATCCAGCAGCCGCGATGTCGCACAGTCGCCAGTCCCATTCTTGTTATTTCTTCGCATTTTCTCCTCCCAATCCTTGGGAATAGACTCGCTTTCTACATCCTGCTGCTTTCGGGCTTCTGCATCATATTCGGCTCCAAGAACACGTTGCGTGCGCCAGGTCCCTAGATGTGTTGTGGCTAATGTCCGATATATCCATTCGGTCACCTTTATCGACCCCGAACATTTGTTATACTTCGCAAGACATCCTGTGGCATGGCATCGTTCCCAGAATCCATCGGATCGAAGTATAAAAATCGCGATGACTTCGGTTGGGCTATTTCATGCACAGTCGAAGCATCGTACGCAAAGAGTATATCTGACAGCGGGAACCGCCATTACGAAATGTGTATGGTCGTGAGTATCTACTATCTTGTCAAGTCTGCATTAAGATTGAGATTGACTCCACCCATGCTCCAGAGTCTCGGCACTGATGGGTCTGGGTCATGGAATCAATGCGTCCAGAGTCATTGGTCAATTGCGTGGATCAAGGCTCCCCCTTTCCGAAATTCTTGACTTCTGGTTCGAAGAACTACTCGTGCATCCTATAATACGTCCGGCCGCCCCGGGTGCCAGGGCTTGCGTCTGCTCGCTTGCTGATCTATAAGCACCTGGTATTCGAGGGCTTGGACGCTTTCACTTTGCCTCGCCTCTAGTCATTGTAATGCCCATGCAGCGACCGACCCTAGCGAATATTCGGATCCGCTCTGTCGAAGATGCGCGGATAATTCTCTACGCTGCCCATCGCGGTCTACTGCCAGTCATCACGCGGCGCCTCGATGCAGACGAGAAACAGGCTCTGAGGCCGGGTGACGTCTACGTATGGGTGGAAGGGAATCCCCAGACAGATATCACTGGTCTCGGCATTGTTCGCTGGACGGACGGTAGGAAATGGAGTCAATCTCGGACTCGAGATGTATGTTGTACATCGCCATGTCATCTATGGGATGTCGCCAATGTTCCGTCAGGAGTTCCTGTACTACGAGGAAGAAGACGCTAACGGCTGTCCGCTCCCGGTGAGTAAGCCCACTATTTTCCAACGCTGTGGTTGATAATGACCGTAAGGATTTAAGCGACCCGACCGAATGGTAAAGCAGACGTATTCCACCACCGTCAGTGCCACTGCTTCCCGAGCTGCATACAGGATCTGTTTGCGTGCGTGCTTTACCCTCGTGTTATGGGATCTACTCTTTAATCTTACTCTGTACACATCACAGACACCTATTATACCGACAATAGTCTCAGGCTATACGGCACTATCGACAGTATACCCGAGTTGCAAGGCTTACAAGTACCCCCCGGCTTATTCACTCGCATAAAGAAGCCCGGTCGCAAATCGAAGGACCGGTCATTATTTGGGACCTCGCATGAACTCGACATGCCTACCGTGCATCTACCCGAGGGCGGGTTTGGCCAAGACAAGCCGGCGTCGAGCAGCTCATCCTTCCGACCGACCCCGGCTGGCTGTGCATCTTCGCCATTGGCTGAGTCTAAAAATTATGTTGCTGCTCATTGTGATAGCGACCTGCCATCCCACGGTTCTTACGATACCGAGGGTCATGTGTCCCTCGGTCGAGCGTTCTCACACCTCGATCTAGTAATTTCGGACAAGAAGCCTGGTGCTCCGTCGTTCTCTGACACGTCCGCGAATGTGCACGCTTCATCCACTCCCGCACCCATGCCCCTCGACTGTCGCGAGTTCGCCGTCCGAAGGAATCACTATGTGCTCGAGTCGACAAATCCATCTGTCGCTGATCGCACGTCTCCCCACTTCATCTCGGGCGTATTCGGTGCTCGCGCGATGTATTCCCTCGCGCCTCTGGGCTCGACCCTGACCCAAGAACCTCGTCGGATGACGTCTCCTCCAGCTACGTCATCTGGGGTTTGGACGACTGCGGGGAACCCTATCACTGCAGAGGGATCACTATCGCTGAGGCCCTTCTCCGAGCTACGGAAGGATCGTGCATACAGAAGGGACCCTATTGATGACAGACACCTGAAGCTGCTGAGCAGTATTCCCGGCAGTGTATGAGGATGCTTCTGTTCGATCCACCCGGCGCAAATCGGTAGGTTCATGCGTTGCGGCTCTCAAGAACAGTGATGAGGATACTGCTCTGCTTGGTGAACTGATGGCAGTCGTGCGAGTTGGTTGGACCGATCGGACGGTCTAGGTTATGTCAGAGATGTATCATAGCTTCTGTATTCTCCGTCACGGGTCGCCACCCCTTACGAGCGCCAGTGACGGTACGAACTTGTATAAGCTTGTCGATGTTGGTACTGTAGGCATCATCGTTTTCTTCTTTCTCGAGCTTTCACCTACGCCTTCCATCAGGGAGTACTGATTCTCTCGACCCATCGGCTAATACATGCGTTACGTGCATTAGGTAGGCTTGTAGGTCAGTGCCGCGACGCTGCCTCGGTGTAGGACAGCGGAAGCAGACGCAGATGATAAGTTGTCTGTTAGCGATTAAGGCTCATGAATACATCCGCCTACACGAGCTATATATACCAAGCAGAATTGACGCTCGCGGCCTCGCTGAATAGGCCTACGAGTACGTGTGCTTCTGGACTCAGAACTAAGTTTTATTTGTCTTTACGCATCGACCAGACACCTTGGTCCGTGACGCTCCTCTGCGGCGATATTGGCATACCCAATTCAACGAAGCTCACTAAGCTCATACCGGAGGAATATGATTGGAAGAGCGCTGAGTGCTGCGAGGAACGTGCCTTGCTGTTGTCGGGCATGTCGGGTGTCCCAGTCGGCGCACTTCTATCCTAGTCAAGCTAGTTGCGTTCCAGATTCACTTACCTCAGTGCCATTTCTGCAAGCAAAACTTGTACTCCCGCCGATGATGTCTGCTGTTGGGAGCAGGGCCAAGCTTCGGACTCTCGGGATCGCTTCAAGCGACAGCTACCGCCGGTGCAGCAATGACTAAAACAGGTGGTTGGCAAATGACGGCCATAAGAGTAGGGTTAAATTATCTGTTAGACGACAAAGACCCTGCATGCGCATTTTCCGCGGTGAATGGGGGGCCTAACTGATGGAAACGGTTAAGCTTCTCACCGCGCAGAAGGTTTGCACTTGCCGCTTTGCGAAATTCAGCCCTGGCTAGCATGTGCGCCGCCATCATGCGATCGTAGTACCCAGCCGGCTGGTATTGGGAAGGCTGATGACAGGCTAGAACCCAAGAATGGAAGGTATTGTCAGTGAGGACGCAGGATCCCTCATGCCCCATTGATTTCCTAGACTGTGGCGCAGCAAGCCATAGGTCAGCGCACACGTAAGATTATGGAAGAGTCGGCGGGGCATCGTGGGGAACGCGGAAGGCCGGGAGTCGAATACATTCATGATAGCAAGCGTACGCAGCCAGCGTGAAATTCGAAGACTCTCTTCGCATCTTACCGTCCGAGTTTGTCGGCACGCGCGCCGACGCGCGGTGCCTGCTGGTGGCTAGTCAACATGATTACATTCGTTTACCGGGCCAGCTCCAGTCGTTCGCATGGAATACGCGTTTCCGACCACCCATGCAATGAAGTAATTGGTTCTGCAAGGCCATGGAGCTAACTATACCATATGCTATCACCAACCCGCGCGAGATTCATTAGCGCAGGCCACACTAGCCGTGTACTTCCTCGGGGCTGGTCGGCCAGCGTCGAGCATCTGAGTCAGATGCTACGCTAGTCCTCCACAGAAGGAAAAGGAAGCCCATCCCTGACCTAAATTTGTGGTGAGTCTCGACGTGGCTTTAGCGCTGGGGCGATAATGGAGCGTACTTGATTGATGTGCCTTAACGTTGTCGGTGTAATCCTCGAGGAGGGTATGGAGCACAAGGGATTTTGAGTTAGATTACCGGAAACTCGGCGCCAGATCCCATGCCACATACTTACTCTATGCTGCGGTATTACGACACGCTTTGCGGCCTCGAGCTGCCGGGAGGCACATTGGCAGACAACGGGCGGCGTGGCATTAGAATTGCCCTGCCACAAGTTAGAGGGTCGCTGACACCACACGTACTCGAAAACAATATACTTCCTCAGACTACTGTACTATTTCGACCAAATTCGTCAGTCACAGGTCACAGGCCCTCTTGACGAGACGAAATTCAGCGCATGCCACAGGTCTTCTGAGCGTGGGACCTACCAAATGTAGTATTCGGAGCTTCCCTGTGGCGCCATGATTACCATATGTAGTAAACGAATCGGTCGAACGTCACAAGGCCTGACGAATTGGTCGAAATAGCAAAACATATTGTACGCATACTCACAGACAAGCTACACACTTGCGAGATCATGCCTGGATGCCTCGAGTAGCAATAAATGACGTTCTTGAATCAAGGCATGAAGTGCCAAGTCCGCCGAGAGTCGTGGAGGCAAATGACGCAAGTGTGCTTCCCGAGTCCGCACGTATGCTACGCTAGGGACTCTTTACGCGGTCCGCCATCTGAGCGATTGTCCAGCATAGTGCCCGGAGGACCAGCATCTGTCCGGCTTGCACTCCCGGCAGCCACACACGTCAAAATTTGCAAAAGCTTAAAACCTGCTGCCGCCGTTTGCTGCTTTGATCTCTAGAACATGACAGCGGCCTATCGCAACAGAATTACATACGCGGAATTTACTGCTGGCACTGTGAGTGAATGACTAGCCTGGGTAGGGACAGAGTGAGTGGATCGCGCTCCTAGTCTTAAAGCGGACGCCGAGCGGTCGCGTCGCCGCATCGCTCCGGGAACACGTTGCGCTACCTCAGATGACAGATCTGTTTCAACCTGCCCGGTTGCTGATAAATCGCACTGCAGCAGTCAATTTCCACCTGATTCAAAGGGGTTTACATAGTGTGGACGCAAGCCTTCAGCACAGTCCGATAGTGAGTGCTTTCTCGCAGAACACGGAAGCAAATTCAGGGTACGCGATCGGCTTGGATCGTATGCAAACTGCGTTTTGGGTTGTTAGCGTCGTTGGAGCACCTTGCAATCACTCTGATCAAGATTTGACTTCGTATACCAGACCGCTGGCTTAGCAAATGCCCGATATAGGCCGTGGCAAGATATAGTCAAATGAAATGAATACAGGGTCCCTTTTCTTAGTTATCTCTGCCTTCTCGCTGGAAGCTGCTTTCGCTATTTCTGTATTACGTCCGAGACCCCAACCCACTTCGGCTTCTCCTCAGCGTTCCTAGTTATAAGGCCCAACTCGCGCTTTTGTTCGGACTATAAATATACCCGTGGTCCGCACCTTGCGCCACATCCATGCAGCAGCCAACTCTCAGAAATACTCGCGTTCGCTCGGTCGACGATGTCCACAAGATATGTTATGCCGCGTTCCTGGGTAAGCTCCCCCTAATCACTCGCCGGCTCGACAACGATGAGAGAGCCAAGCTGGGAGCCGGTGACGTCTATGTCTGGGAAGAACGCAATCCGCTCACAGATGTGTCCGGGTTGGGCATCGTACGCTGGACTGAAGGAAAGAAGTGGACCCCCTCAAGGGTCGTAGGGGTGAGTGCATATGGTAGCTCCGAGTGTATCTCATATCTAAAGGATTGCTCAGGATTTCTTATATTACTACGAGAAAGTGCCGGACAGGTGAGTCTAATCGCTCTGTCCGCTGGCCTGTTCGCATCCTTACCTGGTACTCAGCGTACCTCCCGGCGATGTTTTGGCCAGACAGACGTACTCTACGACCATTCATGCACCTGAGCCGAGGGGCCCATTCAAAATCTGTCTATGTACGTGCGAATCGTTCGTTCTCCCCGTCTGCAAGCGCTGATATGTTATCGGCTTTCTGCTCTTTCATTGCCCAGGTACATATCATTCTAAGAATACATTAGACCAGCTGAAGACGATCGATGAAATCCCGGAACTGCGGGACCTAGTGGTCCCAGAAGGTACTTTCGTCCGACAACGGAAGAGCAGTCGCAAAGCGGGAGAGGTTTCATTTGACGCCCCCGATGGCGCCTCTCCTACTTTGCGCAAGAAACCTTCTGAAAGCAAGCGGAGGCATAGCGTCTCTCATACGTACGCACCGTACCCCGCACGAAGCTCGCCATATCACTTTTACGCCTTGGAGCGCACCGACGACGCAGCTCCTATAGCCTCGACTTCTAGCGCCCTCCACATCAGTGGCGCTAGTACGTCGTACCAAGCTCACGGGCCAATCGCGGTCGCCACAAATGTGGCTGGTCCCTTCACCACTGCCCTCGCTCCTGTCACCGCAGATCCCGACAATTCTCCTTCGAGCGGGCATTACGCTGCCGCAGGGTCCATGGCGTCTTCATTGCCCGTGTTCGGCAGACCTGTCTTCCACCATCACGAGAACGCTTTTCCTTCGCCCGGACCCTATACCGCCCAATCAAACTATGTGCCCACTGCAGGATCGGCGTATGCGTCACAGGCTATGTCAGGCTTGTTCCCCACATCGCCGACTTCCCATCCTCGTCGCGCCTGTTCACTCCCCTTCGACCACAAGCCGCGTTCCATCTGGCCCGTGATGTCGCCCGAGAGCTCGCCCGTCTTGTGGACAGCACCTCGCCAAGATCACCCCAGTCGCAGTCATTCATCGAACGAGTCCCGGTCGAGTTCGCGCATGTCCGGTCAGTCTGAGCATGGTCTCTCACTCGCACCGCTGTCGGCGTTGAGGGAGTCGGCGGCGTATCGTCGCGACCCGGCTGACGACCACCTCCTCCGTCTGATCAGCAGCGAGACCGGCGGCGTGTAGACCCCGAAGCTGACTGGGAGTGGATACCCTCGTGCGATAACGGCCGGCAACCTCTACCGACACCATCAGGCTACCGAGACCCAGACGGGCGGGCGACGCCCTCGACTCGTACAAACCATGCTCAGATGTGCGTCGATACGTATTACGTATCTTCGCACTATCCCAACGATACCCACCATGCAACATGTTAACGACGATGCTTTACCCATGCGGATGACTATGAAGACACACTCTTTACGGATAAGCGGCTGTATATACCTTCTAATGATGTTGTCTGGAGGACAATATTAATATTTCAGTTTGAATGCTCTAACGAATTTATGCGCTTCGACATGATGCCACTGGTCTGGACGGACGTGTATTGGGTTTACTTGTATCTAGGGGCCCTCTCCTGCGATACTGGTGTAGACGCAAATACCATTTCTAGCACATATCAGCCTATGGCACCTCACCCTAGTTGATGAAAGACTCAAAGTCGACCCGACTATCGCTGCAGAACATATGCCCAGTGATGTGAAGCAGCGAAGCGCTCGGGAGAGTCCGAGGTTCAGATCTCAGAGCGCACCGCTAACGTCGGAATGATCACCCTACATTTCAAGGATGCGCCCTTGCTAAATGCTACTTGGCTTACGTGGATCATCCACTCAGTAAGGATACTCTTTCGAGTGGCAAACGAAAGACATATGCAATGTTATTTCTTGCCATTCGCCTTCTGCCTTTGCCGTATAAGAATCGCTTACTCGACTGTACCGGCGACGCAAGGAATCTAACACGTGTATACGGTCGTGTCGGACCACTCGGGACCGAAGCAAAGGTCTTTACGGATGACTGGAGCGCCATCAAGCGCCACCCACCGAGTACTACAAGTGCGAGATCCTGCCCGATCGTCCCTCTGACGTCAGTTCCTGTGGCAACAACGATCACGGTCCTCCGTTTAGACCTCCGTGCTTATGTTATACTCGCTGATCGTCTACCCTAACCTAAACGACAGCGAGAACGTGGACACCGTAGGTATCCCAACATGGCATATGTTTAGATTCAGAATATGTCGTATGTCGTGTAGCAGCAATTCGGAATACCGAACATAGCGTGTACCCCATTCAGTACAACCACACCAGGCTGCGACGCATGACAGCGCCCAGCAGGAGTGGGGCACGGCTATAGATTTGATGTACCAGACCGCGAAACAACTCCTGCCACAATTGGTGTCGCGCCCTGTCAGTCGGGGGGTCCCCAAACTCTGGAGAAAGCGCCCTCCTCGAGGCCGACTCCAACAGCACCGACCCTACCCCAGGGCGGCGGCGTCACGCACCCTCAAACACAAAGAAACTGGTGTCGTCGCCGACATACTGAACGCTCGGGAATCTCCACGGGGTGGCGGCGGCTCAAGAGTGAACAACGACCGGTCAAGCCCGCATGCCGCGGTCGGAGCGACGCTAAGGACGTACTGAACGTCGGCTGGGGGCTTCTTTGTCGGCGAAGCAGGGCAGCGCGGAACGAGCCGGCCATATGGAGACAAGTTGGTCCGAGGGAAGACGCTGCACGATTGAGGGTGAGTAATGACTAAGACTCGCAAAACATAGGTGGTCAGAGTTCAGACTCATCCTGTGATCTCGACATGGCGGAGATAGCGACATACACAACGTCGGGACGACAAAGGTAAATTTGGTCACAGTCGTCATAGTGCGCACCGTACGGGATATCTTGACTACTTCAGTAAAAAAGGAGGAAATGGCAGGGGACTTCAGAGTGTGCGAACATCGCAATGGCTGCGTGCGACATGACGGTTGAATCAACGTCAGACCTGGAACTGGACGGGAAAAAATAATGTAGTGGCTGAACACTTTACGAAACGAATTTTGCTACCTTCAAGGTATCCATGCAATTGCAAGGCCGGCACTGGCATCGGCAAGGGATTCTGCCGCAGGTCTGGTCCGAGAGCACCTCGGCAGATGCTGCGAGCATGAAGACAGCCACGCCATATTCGAGTGCGTACTTGGAAGACCGAGGAGAGGCGTACATGAACTGCCGCATCAAAGTCCGGCTCGGACATTCAGCAAGCATGCCACGCCTCCATCCTATAGGAAGAGTAGAAATGGATACGAAAACATTCCATCGTCGAATCCGCAAAACATTAGGCGAAGGTTTGGGCGCACGACCTTTGATGAGCATCAGAGACCAGTCAGCAGGATGTCGGGTCGGCCCAGTCGCACACTCGCGACAGTCCATCGATAGAGAAATGTCCAATGGCCACGAGACGAAATGCATGTAAGCATTTCACCGGAATTGGAATAACACCGCCGGTGAACAGTCTGCGAGCCTCGGACGATAGAACCAAGATGTCCAGTATTCTGGAGCGGAAGTAACACCCGCAGCTAAACAATCGGCGGTACGCGTTCTGAAAGATGGCGAGCTTAGAAGGAGAAACAGCAGTTCTTCGGGAGTTTGCTTACAAGAAGGTTCGCTAACCAGGTTAGCAGCTCTCGCAGTGCAAGCCCGCTTACTAACCAATGTATGATTTCAAATATTCAGCATATCTAACCGAGTCGAAGGTTCGGATTCACCGGTCTGCGGATTCCGGGTAGACTCCGGCGAGGACTTGAAGAGGGATTGGCTGCACGTCCGAATGAAGTAACTGCAGAAACAAAAGCACGGCTTCTTCGGGAACTTGGCACGGCGCATGGGTGAGATAGGAACAAGCGGTCCTCGCAAAGCAAGGCACCTAATTGTCAGATTCGATTACGCTCGCCCACCACTCACCCCAGAATGCCAGGCAGCAAGGATCAGACGGGACCAGAATTCGCGATTTTCAAAGTGTCAGAATAAACTCTGCTAATGGGAAAGACGTTACCGGACATTCAATTATCGCCAAGCCCTCGGGAGGCGTCCGACGAAGACAGATTGCCGGGAACGCACAGGAGAGTGGACGCGAACGTGAACTTGGCGAATACAAGCCTCCCTCCGCCGACGCCTCCCATTCCCGGTTTACGACACGGGCTGCCTGCAGCGCTGACATCGGCGAGCCGGGCAGCGTCGACCCGCCGAGCTTTCTCCGTAGACAGTGGGGGGCACAACGTTTCGGGGCGAGTGGACTTACGCACCTCAGGATGTCTCGGTGACGTACTGATGGCAGCGTGCACCGCCACATACTGTGTAAATTGAAAGGGGTATAGCGTTCCACGATAACGAGGAACGACGTCGAAGTGGCGCCCTTTAAGTAGATCGTCTTTGATGGAACGCAGAACGATACCACGACGCCAGGCTAACCTGGGCAAGGTTTCTGTACGGAGTCCCGATGTCGGTGCCCGCGTGGAACAGAGGAGAGGGCGGCGCTGATTCAGACTTTACGCAGAGCCATCAGTGGAGCTGTGGGATGGTTTGACCATCGTATGTCCTCGGATCCGCGCTGTATCTCCTGATTCTTAAGAAAAGCACAGATAAGCACTAGAAGAGTGGATCTGGAGAGGCCTAGTTGTCGTATACGGCGCCCGTTCTTGTCATGCTGCGGGTAAGGAGCAATAATCGTACCATATCGACAGAGCTAGCCATCACTTTCGTATTGATGGTATTCAGAACGCACTCGCTCTCTTCGACTTGGACCGGTCCAGAGTAAAAACAGTCCAGATCCAAAATAACCCGTGGAAGCGTCTGGCGTCACTCGGGAAAATCGCCACCGACCTTGGGAAAGCAGCAGTAAACACCGGAAGCAACAGCAGCGTCAAGGTTAACCAACGTCTAGACAACGAGCGAGGCTGTTTCAAAGAGGCAGGGGTTTTGTTTAGGAAAGGATCGGCGAGTGTAGGCGGCAGTGTTAGAGGAATAGAGTCGCCCGGAGCATGAGTGTATTGGCTGGCTAAGGGGCTGTTTGAGGCGAGTGAAGTGATTTGTAAGCAGAGTCTACACCGTGCCGACAGCGAAAAAAAGTGGCGTGACTTTGCTTTGCGACACACCAATAAAAGCTTTCAATATGCCGTCGACTCTCTTCAGCTCCGTCGTCAGCGCCGCTGGTCAGGCCGTATACCTTTCTTCGATACCTACAAAATCTACGGCTGAACGACCGCGATGGATTTTGTCTTACGCCTCGCCGACGACTATGTGCTCGACAAGGTCTGGGCAGCCGTCTTGCCCAGCTCTACTTTCTCTGCAGACTCGCAGGCGGTCGTGAACGCGACGAGCTACCTGCCAGTCGCCGGATCATCCTCATCGTGGTCGCATATGGTCTCTTTCATTCCCCAGTCGTTAGCCATTTCACAAACGGAATCGGCCTGGCCACGAGATTACATTCCTCGGCAGCTCATTTCCCTGCTTGTAATAACCCTGATCGGCATCCACCTGCTCTATTTTATCATCGCGGGCTTGTCGTATCAGTTCATATTCAACCATGAAATGATGAAGCACCCGCGCTTCCTGAAGAACCAGGTCCGCCAGGAGATCATGTCCAGCCTGCGTGCCTTCCCCGGTATGACGCTTCTCACGATACCCTGGTTCCAAGCGGAGGTCATGGGCTATTCCTTGCTGTATGATGACGTGAGAGACTATGGGTGGACGTATTTCTTTGCCTCGATCGCGCTGTACGTCTCCATTTCTGTACTCCGCCACGATATGCCCTAATCTACGATGCTCGTTAGGTTCCTCCTCTTCACGGACTACGGCATCTACTGGGTGCACCGTCTCCTGCACCACCCCCTCGTCTACAAGCACGTCCACAAGCCGCACCACAAGTGGATTATCCCTACCCCATTCGCCTCGCACGCCTTCCACTTCCTCGACGGGTACCTCCAATCTGTCCCGTACCACCTCTTCATCTTCATCTTCCCTCTCCACCGCCTCCTCTATCTTGGACTCTTCGTCGTCGTCAATATCTGGAGTATTCTTGTGAGCACTTTCCCTGCATATCAGGTATCTTCCAAATTTTGACCTGGACGTATTCGCTCAGATTCATGACTCGGACATGATCACTGGCCACCCGCTGGAGACGATCATCAACGGACCCGCACATCATACGCTGCACCATCTATACTTTACAGTTAACTATGGCCAGTACTTCACATGGGCCGATCGCTGGGGAGGCTCGTACCGGCAACCCGAGTCAAGCCTTGACCCGCTGCTAGAGATCAAGGAGCATCACGAGAAGAAGGCAGAATAGACGGTTCATCTGGGGATCGGAAGGGGTGCTGATGCTGAAATTTATGATATAGAGGATTAATGATTTATCGGGATGAATACTGATGTGTATAGCTAACTGTTATTTGCTATCGAACGTAATGGATGCTGTGTGCAGTATTTGCTCTTGTGGATGCTGAGTGCTCGTCTTCATCGTCCTGTCATGTGCGCACGCACTCTAACGCGCCGACCGCATACTGCATATTGCGTTGGTACAGTGCGTTGCAGTTTATCAAAAGAATATGGTATAGATACTCATGGCAGGCGCCTGAATAACCAAGCTCCCGTTGGCCGCAAGACTGAGCGCTATCGGGACATAGTCGCCGCCCGCATCCGTCATGAACGCCCTACTGGGTTGGGCCAGCCTCCCGCCCTCCAAGCTGAGCGTCAGCGTCGAGGGGCTCTGCTGCGCGTTCATCGCCACAACGGAGGACAGCCGGCTCGTCCCCGGCGCGGTGAAGGCCAGCACGCGCCAGTTGGTCTCGACGGTGGTGACGTTGAGCAGGGTGGCGCCGACGGGCACGGCGCTCGTGAAGTGCTTGAGCACGGGGAAGCGCTTCGGGAGGGAGAAGGTGTAGTAGTGGGTGGTGTTGTAGTTGGGGTCGTAGTAGATTATGCCTGTCCGGGAGGAAGGTGGTTAGGAGATAGCTAATACAGGAAGGGACGCGACAGGGCGTACCGTCGTCCCAGCCGTCGTAATTCCGCTCGTTGACGCAGCTTGCGTTGGTCGACGGCGTGCATGACCCGTACTCGCTGCTCAGGGCGGTCCAGAAATCCCAGTGGGCGTCCTCTCTACATACTTTGTAAATGTACCGCACACGTTCGACTACGATCAACCACTTACGCCTGCGTAAAGCTTTGCCAGATGAGGTTGCCCATGCGAAGGGCAGAGACCATGGTGGGATCATAGCTCGCGCCGTACGTCAACGTAGCGAGGGGATTGTTGGCTTGACTCGAGCTCGCCTCGACCCAGCCTATGCGAGCCGCGATCATGTTAGGAACTAAGCGAGCACAAGCGTTCGTCCGGCTGCAACTTACAGCAGATCTCAGTGAACCAGGAGTACACGCCGCCGCTCAGGTTCCTAGCTTCAGCACCGAGCTGAGCCATCGTGGCGTCGTTTGCGAAGCCGTACTGATGGTGTGCGACTCCCGCGAGCGCGCCTGGAGTCACGTCCGGAAGCCACACAGGAGCCTCGGGTATGAAGTTACCTATTTTATTGGTTGTGGCTTCAGTGATTTTCAACGGCGGTCATTTATAGAGAGAACACACCGGTACTGGAGCTTTCATCTGCAATGACTTTGGTGGAGAGACTCGCATTCGCCAGGGCAGCGGCGAGGGTGTTGACCACTTCGGCGCGTTGTTCCGGGGTGACTTGCATGCCCTCTTGGCCACAAGTGCCAAAGGTGTCGTCCCTCCCATTCCCTTAATACTCATTTATGCCCAGTCTTTCGAATTGCGACTTACGGCTCGCTACATATATGTGGTCAGCGAGGGAATTGCCACGGGCAAATCGACGAGACTTACTTCATAGCGGAGACATGCGTGATGGTAACACCTTGGCTAGACCAGTACTTAATCACGTCTGTGATGTATTGAGCGTAGGCCGGGATTCTGTCGGTGATGAGGTTCTATTTTCATTGGAGAAACACGGGCCGTCACAAGCGCATCATTAGGAGATCCGTCTTTTCAACAACAAATGGAAACGCACTCCACCACAGGTTTGACCGTTAGTGGTCATGGTCACCGGCTGTAGCATTAGTACCCGGATGAGATATCTCGACGAATGCTAGAAGGGAACGAAACTGACGGCGCTATTCACGAACAAGGTGATCAAGGGCACTTTATATTCCGCTGCGGCACGCAAGAAGTATGTTCCCTGCGGATCAGCAGAGAAGTTGTATACGCCATCACTGGCGAGCCAATGGATTAGCATCTCAACGTTTCATGCGCCTCTGATCCAGGACAGACCTAATGTATGGCGTCTCTGGAGCCCTGGCAAAGGTCGTTACGCCGACACCAACGCCGCCGAGGTTGTACCTATAGTCTGTGATCCCAAGCCCACTGACGGGGTCGAACAGAAGTCGAGCAATCTCTTGTCGAGACGACTCTGGGAAGAAGTACAAATCGTTCGGCCACCTGAGTGCGAGACGAGTCAGAGCTGTGTGAACAAAGCTCGGTTATGATCCTGATACTCACCAAGCGCCGGAAGCACCGATGCCATGCAGGGTCTGCCTGGTAGTGTTAGTGATGACGGCCGACAAAGTCGGCCCCAGCACAGAGAGGACGACTGCTAACAGAAGCATCTACGCTATCCAAGTGCTCCGTCGTAGAATCGAGCTGTTGCCAGGCTCTTATAGGTGTTGCGAAAACGCTCTCCCACCTCGAAGCAAGGTCACTGGCTCTATTCATGACCCAACTTGAATAACAGGAACAAATATCAGTTGGGTCCACATGGATGCGTATTCTTGAGAAGTAGTTGATATGGTGCATTTGAGTTGAATGCTCTGATTGCCAGCGCCACGACTTCGAGATTTTCCGAGGAAAACGTCGAAAGGACAGGACATTATGAGATAGTACTAGTAAGACCGAAGCTACCGGGCCTGCCCGATCCGCTCGCTCCGGGCCGTCCGGGGGCCCGACGTACTACTACTGGGGCGGCAACAGAAGTTGAAACCTGGTGCGACGAAGGTTCGAGTCTTTCGCAAGCCCATGGGCATCCTCAGTATTTCCTGAATCTTGACAGTGAACCATATAGCGTCCGGCCAGATTTAATGAGTCAACCGGAGTACGAGTGCTTTGAACGATAGGCCATCATATATCGACAACTTTAAATGCGCTTGAACATGCGAACTGCATATATACTGTCAGATTTTCTTTACGGGGCCCGGGCTTTCTTATATGCGCTGAGCCTGGATGCCAGTCATTGACCTTTTTTCCTGAGACCGAACATCATTTCTTCCCCGCGTCCTCCGCGGCGCCCCGGCCGGTGGGTAGCGGTGTCACTTTGCGGCAGTCGGCATCACCCATAATACATCGTTTGTGAAGTCCAATACACGGGCAGCGAACATAAAAAAACATAATGAATGGAAAAAAGACACTGACGGGCATCGAGATACGCTGGCTGATATCCCTGGAACGCAACCGTCGAAACTGGGCTTGGTCGATTCAGAAGAATAACGTATAGATGCTCATAGAAGGCGCCTTGATAACCAAGGTCCCATTGGCTGCTGAACTCAGCTGCACTTGGGCATAGTCGTTATCCGCATTCGTCACCACCGCCCTGCTGGGCTGTGTAAACTTCCCACTGTCCAAGCTGAGTGTCAGTGTTGAGGGGCTCTGCTGCGCGTTCATTGCGACGACTGAGAAGAGCTGATTCGTATCCGGAGAGGTGAAGGCGAGCACGCGCCAGTTCGTCTCGACGGCGGTTACGTTAAGGGTGGTGGCACCGACAGGCACGGCGCTGGTGAAGTGCTTGAGCACGGGGAAGCGCTTTGGGAGGGAGAAGTTGTAGTACTGGGTGCTGACATAATTGGGGTCGTAATAGATTATACCTGTGTTGAGGGGGACGGTCAGGAACAGGCATCACAGTCAGGTCGTTAGCGAGCGTACCATCGTCAAAGCCCTCGTAATTCCTCTCATTAACGCAGCTGGCGTTGGTCGACGGCATGCATGAACCGTACTGGCTGCTTAGGGCCGTCCAAAAGTCCCAGTGAGCATCCTCTCTGCTCCAACTTCTCAATGACGACGTCGTACATGCTCATAGATGACAAAGCACATACGCCTGCGTGAAGCTTTGCCAGATGAGGTTGCCCATCCGGAGAGCCGAGACCATAGTCGGGTCGTAGCTCTCTCCGTACACCAGGAGGGCAAGAGGATCACTGGCCTGAATGGACAACGCCTCGACCCAGCCTAAGGTTGCCCAGTGAGTGACGTCAGCGGATTAGAAGGGCTGCGGCCCTCTGCCTGCTCACTTACAGCAGATCTCAGTGAACCAGGAGTCGACACCGCCACTCAGGGACCTAGCTTCAGAACCCAATAGAGCTATAGAAGCGTCGCCCGCGAAGGTGTACTGATGATGCGCGACTCCAGCGAGCGCGCCTGGGGTCACGCCCGGTAGCCAAAGAGGGGCTTCTGGAATGAAATTCCCTATTTATTCGCGGCATCCAATCAGCGGCCGTTGCAAAGGCAGTCAGATGGAAGGAAACGTAAGTACAGGTGGTGGAACTCTCGTCCCCGATGACTCTGGTGGAGAGACCTTCGTTGGCGAGGGCAGCCGCGAGGGTGTTGATTACTTGTGCCCGTTGTCCCACCGCGACCTGCATACCCTCTTGGCCACAACTCCCGAAGTTATTGTCTCTGAGATTCTCTCAGTATGGGAACATTCCTCGCCTATCGCAACTGTCACTTACGGTTCACTGTAATACTGCATCAGCGAACCGGAATGAAACTCATGGGATAGACAAGGCCCACTTCATAGGGGAGACATGAGTGATATTGACTCCTTGAGTGGACCAGTACTTGATCACGTCCGTCAAATATTGAACGTAGGCCGGGATCCTGTCCGTGATGAGGTTCTGAGGAACAGCAGATGGGCCATTAAGTGATCCATCCTGCTACGGGGAAATATGACATACGCCTCCACAATTTTGACTATTACTGGTCATGCTCACGGGCTGCAGCAGTAACAGCGAGATAAGCAAGCTCAACATTTTATGGCACCATTGAACTGACCGCACTGTTGACAAACAAGGTGATCAAGGGTATTTTGTACTGTGCTGCGGCTCGCAGGAAGTATGTCCCTTGGGGATCAGCAGAGAAGTTGTATACACCATCACTAGGAAGTCAGTTCAGCTTCAGCGACATCTCCCCATACGTCGAAACAGCGCTAACCTGATATACGGAGTCTCCGGCGCCCTAGCAAAGGTGGTCACTCCGACGCCCCCGCCGCCGAGATTGTACCTAGAGTCTGTTAACCCGAGACCAATGTCGGGGTCGAACAGCAGTCGAGCGATTTCTTGCCGAGATGACTCCGGGAAGAAATAGAGATCGTTCGGCCACCTGCGAGCAGTGGAAAGCTGAAAGATACCGCGGGGTAAACCGGGGAAGGTACGCACCACGCGCCGGAGGCGCCTATGCCCTGTATCGTTTGTCCAGTTGTGTTGGTGATGACAGCCGACGATACCGCCCCCAGCACAGAGAGGACTACCGCTGCGACAAGCATGTCTGTGCACTATGCAGATGTCGACAGCCCGACCGCTCTTATAGGGCACCCCGATCACGTTCTACGTCTTCCCTGTCTCTCTTTCATCTCGAAATCATCTCTGAAAATATACATCACTTGACGACGAGAAGATACAAAGCCCACATGTATCGGTGTTCTAGAGAAGCACGATGACTGTTGATACGAGTGATTTACTTAATTTTAGGTCCGGGTGAATTGTCTGTTAGACTACAGCTTTGTGTCTTTCCAGGGTGATCGTCCTGGTGAAAGAAATAGTACAGGAGGTTATGTCCACACCGACCCTCGCGGGACACCCAATGGACTCGAGTCCAATGGATGGCCCGCAAGAGTTGCGGGATCAATGATCCTGCGCAGTCTGTGCGTGAATAGGTTCTGTTTTCCCGTATACCATCTATGATCAGACACGTCGGAATCTGCGGACGGCCACCAGGTAAGAATGGGCAGATCCGAATGTTGAGTCCCTTCAGTTGTTGACGCAGGTAGAATTAGTACATGTGCCGGCGGCTTGCTTCGTGGTAATGAGACTGAGGTAAGTACTAGTAGAAAATCGAGGACTTGACACACAACCAGCACACAACTGGCGGCCGATCATATGTGTAACTTGACCATCTTACTCGTCTTGCAACACGTGTCGGAACCCTGGAGGAGGATCGAAGCGTATGGACCAAGCATCTTCGAGTCCCCTACGGGATATCTATACGAAAAGTGTGCCAGGAACAGCGTCCAGGCAGCATAATACTTGATGAAAAAGAAACTCCATAGAATGACTTCACAGACTTCATATGAGAGAGTCGCGATACGTTGTCCACATCTCTGGAGTCGATGTCTCTTCAACAGAATTGCTTTGTCATCAGCGCCACCTGCCAGTCTGACCTCGACCATCATGTCTACCACTGTCCTTGTGTCGACTTTCCCTCCTTTCCCTACTCTTTCGCTCTCTGTACCCTCGGATACACCATTTCAAGGTCTCTATGATCTTATTCATGCTCGCTATCCGACCCTGCCGCTGTCGGACGACTTATTCCTCTCGCCTCATCACGGCGTGGTGCCATCGTCCGTGACGCCCGTGTCCCAGCTCGCAGGGGAAGAGGAATCTGGGGTTGCGGATGGGCTCGTCAGTCTCAGACTGTCTGCGAGGCTAAGAGGAGGGAAGGGTGGTTTCGGGAGCCAGCTGAGGGCTGCTGGTGGTCGTATGAGTAGTCAGAAGACGAGTAACAATGACTCGTGCAGAGACCTGAGCGGACGCAGGCTCAGCACCATCAAGGAGGCGCAGAAGTGAGCTTATTGTCGTATCGCACCTATTTGATATAATCCTAACGTCTGGCAGACTTGCGTCCTACCTCGAGTCAGAGCCGGAACGCAAGAAAGCTCAGAAGGAAGCGGAGAAGCAGAAGCTCGCAGCCCTGGAGAAGAAGCTGCAGATGGCCGACCCTGCAGTTGGAAGTAAGCGACCCTTGGTGGACTCTGATTATCTCGAGCAGCGTCGAGAGATAGTGGATAACGTGAAGAGCGCTGTATCTGCAGGTACGTAATATTGGAAGAACTTGCTTGCCCTGTCACGCCCCTGACTTCATCGCTATTGTAGGTCTGCTCAAGAAGAAGAAGAAGGCGAAGCTTTCTCATAGTCCCGAAGGCTCCTCCGCCCCTAGCACAACTACGTCTGCTGCTGAACCGTCCGTAGCGTCTGCAGCCGCGGTCGTCGCAGACATCGTTGATAAGGTCACTGAGGCTTCCGCATTGGCCGCTGGAGCCGTCACGAGCGCGACAGAGAAGGCTGTAGATTCAGCGACGACGTTTGCAAGTGCCACCGTGGGCGTCGCTAGCGGATGATTGCCTCCCTTCGTTCTAGCTCGGTGTATGTCTTCTGGTCTCCGGGTACCTGTATATATGATACTGCCATGTAATCACAGAGCACACGCTTATCTGTCCCTCGCGCCGTGAATATTCTAGTAAGTGAACGTGGGTCTTCTGGAGCAACACTCTGTAATTGTTTTCTGGAACGACGGACGCGCATGTGCTAGCGTTCCAGAATGAGCGGACACTGTAACAACGCATGGACGCCATCTTCATTGTATGAGAGGAATTCTCTGATACACACTGGTCTCGGCGATACAGAATGAATGAATGACTGGATAGGAGGAAAAAGGGACGATCCCCTCAAAGCAATACAGGACTTGCCCGGGAACTGGCACAGCATTATCGCTCTCAGCATATAAACTACGTATATACGCTAGACAGTCATATCTGGGAGCTCAAGGACACCTTGAACTGTGGCCTCTTCTCATTACCCTCGAGGGTGTTGTCTTCTGTGGCACTGGACGTAAACGACTAGAGAGTTCATCAGACCGATATTCGATAAGGACTTATCGCGGACGGCTCAGACGTACCAAAGATTCGCGTACCACCCGTCCAGGGTCTCCCAATGGCTGAGGATGATTTATGAGTACCGGGAGGGCGTAATGGTATTCCCTCTTACCTCGTCAACGGTTTTGATCGTTTCTTTCACTACTCGGATACGGGCCTGGGTGGTACATTGGGATCACCCGCCGCGAAGGGGAACTAATGTATACACTCACAGTAGGAGACCCTGACCCGACACCGAAGTCATAGGTGGAAAACTGAACGCTGACCCCTTGATTCCGTAGGGCTTTGCGAGCATTCAGGCTACGGAGGCCCAAATGTCGTGAGCAATGCAGGAATCGAGCGCGGACTTGATACTAACCTTGCTAGGAATGAATTCGCATAGACTTATCCGATGCGGATCAATAGACGGGGGAGAAAACATAGAGAACTTGCGTACGTCTGCTCTGAATCTCCACGAATGCGAGGAAGACAAGATTAGACTTCAGCGCAACGAACTGTAGAGGAGGATAGTATATTGTGAAATCGAATACGAAGGGAACGGGTAATACCGTAACGAGTATGAGAAGTGAGAAGACACTGCGCAAGATTTCGATCAGTCAGGCAGATAACCGTTTTCCGTGAACGCTTACCTGGTAATAAGTCCAGTGTTGAGTATGTACACTGTGAGGTAGTTGATACGGCTGTCCTCCCTGGAACGTGGCGACCATTCCAGACAGTAGCTCGATAACCGGGAATCTCACAGACGTACAGTTTCGAGGTTGGACGTTTCTGCAGGTACCAAATAAGAGATACTGCAGACAAGACGTCGACGCCAGTCGCACTACCGAGCGCTAAGCTGACCATGACCTATAGGTAATCCATCTCTGACGTCCCAATGAAAGTGAGAAAGTGAATCTCACGTCTGCATACTCATGCGCCCTGAAAGTACTCCAGTGGGGAATGTAGTAGCTGTCAGAGACAAATTCAATGTCAACTTCGACGTCGCTACGACCGTGAAATCGCTACATACCAAAGAGCGGCGACGGCTATGGTGAAGCATATTAAGGACTAGTCTCGCCAGGCCCGGAGCGAAACGACTGTACGCACCCGTTCCAAAGCCTGTATAAAAATTCTCGTCAGGTCTCAAGCATCGTCCATGGAGGAAACTTGGAGGCCTACAGAATCTCATGGTAGCGAGCAGTGCCTGCGAGGGTGAGGCAAATGAGAGATAGCCCATGCACGTCTCACAGGTCCGTGACTCACGACTCCGGCGGTCAGAGGCTTGTTCTGGCCGCCCACTAAAGCCATGTCAGTACACGCGAGGCACGACTAATACGCAAACCCACTGTACCAGACACGGCGCACATAGTAGCTTGAACCAAGGCATTAGCGACTTTACAGCAAGTCTGCACGAAACACACCAATGGACGATGACACAAACAAATATCTGAAGCGCTGGATAAGCTAGTTCACCACGGGCGTGCCATGGATACTCACCCCGATGACTATAGTAGTCTAGCATATAGTACATCAAAACACGAACCTGACATCCAGAACGTTCCGCTCACTGATATGGTCCTACATTTAAAAGATGTTGTGAGTCTACCAGAACCTAGCGACAAGGAAGAGAGACTAGCCAGTAGATGTGATCAAAGTTATCGAAATCACCGAAGTGTTTAATGAGGTAAACGTAAGCCCAGGTAACACAGAAGACTGTGTGCAACGATTCCAGCGCACTGGATGATGTTTCATAAAAATCTGCCGGATGCATTAGAGCTTGAGCGCTTACGAGATCGCAGCAACCTGCGTTCGATGGATGTGCATCATGTCACTACACAAAATGTACGATGTTGCCAGCATACCACCAGTTTCAATGACCTGCGGTCATCTGAATAGCTTCGATAATAGTAAAACGACTGGGTCAAAGTGACGCCGGTAAGACTGGCGGCGTTAACAGTTGAAGATACTCGGAATAGCCATGCATCTCACCAAGCGGCGATGAACATGCATATCAAAACATTTCCCCCTGAGTTGGCGGCGACGGCCTCCTTGTGTGCAACGGAAGACATCCTACGCGAGTCTACGAATGGACTTGGGAAGGGGGAGGCAAAGCGACTCCAAGCAGTACTGTTTTGTAGGGCGGCAATAGTCGATGACAGATGGGCCGGCTACAGTTGTTGTACCCATCAGCATCACTCCTACCGGAAGGCGAGCTTGAACCTCATGCAGTCCGCAGCTTCGACGGTCCAAAGCAGCTGTCCTAAATATACCTACTTACATATGAGTTACAGGACGATGGAAGGATGTTGGCACTCACCTCCTGAAAGCCCCGGGGCTGCGTATGTACACAGCACAGCAGCAGCAATCATGCAGCTACGGGTCACCGTAAGGCCCGAGGATGCAATATAGCTTCCTACTTTGTCACCTATGTCCCCGGGTAGCAATTGGAATTCCTTCGGTGACATTCAGTAGAATACGCGTACGCTATTCTAAGACCCCCGTCCTTACGGCACTAGAGTTGTATGCCGGTCTCATGGTCGTCCATGTTGCCGTAGCCCACTTGATGCTTTCCCTAGCGCATCTCACTTACCACAATACGACAACCAGATCATCGCAAGTGAGGGATTGTTGTACATGACAGAGGCGGCGACTAAAATACCGCTGAGAGCATCTCAATCCGGGTGTGGTACGGGAGCAGAGATTCCACTTCCCGACTTCTGACAACAGTACAGTATATCGCGGCCGAACCGAATCGGATGCAAGGTGGCTTTAAGGCGTTGTGGAAGGCGTGCTCACCATTTAGAGGAGTATGTACCGAGCTTACAAAGTTACCAGATGGCTAGGATCATAGATTCTCTGCGACAAGATATATGATTGGTATTTGCTGGATACAATCTGCACATGAGTGAAGGATGACAGTGGATGAAGCGATGACTTACGCAGAGTTACAAAATCAGAGGTCGCCATGCGCTAGGGTTAGGGCTATCCGCCCGCCCGGCTCAAAACGAACGAGGTCTGATAGAATGAGTGGCACGCTGGATACCATACGAAGGTGCTGAACGGCGTCCAGACGGAGGGAGACTCGGCCCTCCTAGACTTCATATTTCCGGTCAACTGATACTCGAAAATGAACGCATACTGGCTACCTGATGTGACCACAGCAGATGGCCGTTATTGCGCCACGTACTACCACTAGCCGAGCTCTGCTGTGCGTCAGGAGTGAGACTTCCTACAGCGTTCACCATCATCTCACCACGCGCCCCAGGAATATGGTTGCATACAGCTCCCACATCTTGGAGGGCAGAGTGTTCCCTCCATCCGAGGGGTCAGGAGGCCTGGAGTGTTTCGAAGAAGCGACCCGTAGTACTGAAGGGATGCAGGGCCATAACTGCGTACTTGATTGGTTGGCGAAATATCAAGGATAAACGGTTAATATATGCCGTTCTATCCATTCTACGCCTGCTCTCCCCCAGCCTCGTCCTCGCTATCGGCCTCCCCGTCCTCGTCTTCTTCTTCCATAGCTGCCTCGGCTTCGGCTTGTGCTTGTGCAGCAGTGGCAGCATTCGCGATGGCTTGCTCCAACAGCCTCGTCTGCTCTTCGGACAGGCCATACATGGCTAAAGACGAGGGCTGCTGGATGTCCGTCTGAGGGGATGGCCCACTGAAGTCCGCAGCATGGGCTTGTGGGGCGGCATCCGGATATGTAGCATATGCAGACTGAGACAGATGCACGTTCGCGCTACCCACTTCTCCCAAGCCTGGAATATTGTTCTGCTGCTGTACCCTGGCGATAACGCTCGCTAGTGTCGTCTGGCCTTGACCGGCACCCAGATCGGTAGAAGCAGGTGGCGGCGGCAACTGGCCCGGCTGCGTGCCTAGCGCCTTCGTAACATACTCCTGCAGAAGCGGGTGCAGCCTGGTGACCACCAGCTGTAGCTCGCCCACCAGGTCACCTCCAATCTGCCCTTCCTCGAAGACACCGCTAAGGTCCGGGCCCTGCTGCGCGCTTGGGTACGCGTACATTCGCACCTTACGCGCGTCCTCCTCCTCTTCGAGATCCACGTCGACGACCTCCGCGTCGACGCATTCCTCGCCCTTGCCTACTCCCTTTCCCCGCGCGGCATTCTTGTGGCGCTTGAGGGCGTCCCGGCGCGAAAAGGTCTTATTGCAGCCCAAGCACTTATAAGCCTTGCTTTCATGCAGTTTCATGTGTCGTTTTAGATCATGGTTGCGGGCGAAGGTGGCGGGACAGATATTGCATTGGTACGGTCGGTCGCCTTGGGCCGTGAGCTGGCTGTGGAGGCGCTGATGTGCGCGAAGGGAGTAGAGGCGGATGAAAGTTTTGTTGCAGGATGGGAGGAGGCATCGGTACACTGCCGTACCAATGTCAGAGGACGCTTCGACGCCCGGGTGTTGTCCGATCTGGATGCCGCTCAGAACTCCGAGAACTTGTATGAGCCCGCCGATTTCCTGTAGCAAATGTGCCCCTTGACCATGTGTTCCAGAGGAGGAAGTGACTGCAAAGAGGAAGATTTGGTGAAGTGGAACTTGTACGGAAGCTATGAGGGATGCGTCCACAGGGCGGGGACTCGTAGGCATGCTCCTGCTCAGGGCATCCGTGATAATGAGCACTGCGTTCTGTACCTGAGTACTCAGAGATTCGTAGTCTGGAGTATAGAAGGGCCTTTTCTGTGACGGGTACGCGCTCTCGGCTTCAGCTTCACGTTTCCTCTTGTTTTTGCCCTTCTCCAATTCGATGACAGAAGCGTCAGAATTCTTTATAGATGAGAAGAGAGTGTCAGAACGAGCCAGTGTAACCATAAGCTGCGCGAGAGGCTTTGAAAGACCTTTGGCTACCACGCCATCAGCGGCGCACCGAGTTAGAATACTGAAGACATCGCCCTTGTCCGGAATACTCGAATTGGACAGTGTAGAACGAAACAACGCATCTTTTTCAGCATACTGGATGACAGCCTTGATCGTCAAAATCGCGGCATACTGTTTGCGCGAGTAAGGAGACTCAGAAGGCAGTGAAATGGCAGGCGCAGGTGGTTCGACAGCGGGTGTCGCGGGAACCTGAGCCGCTGCAGACGCAGAGGCAGCGGCATCGGCTTGCGCTTTGGCTATGTCCGCCCAGAGCTGCTCATTCAACCGACGCGCGATGGCCTCTGCCTCTGCTTCAGCATCCAACCCATCGTCGGAGTAATCCTCGTCTTCGTCCCAGTCCTCATTTTCGGCAGCCTCTTCTTGAGTCTTGGGATTGTCGGCAATATTTTCCATTACATCTATGGATTTGACCCGCGCCGCGCCCTGTTCAGAACAGATGCTGAAGTGGAAGTCGCAGAGTGCAAGATGCAGGTGCCCGTGACCTCGGTCACACGCAAGTAGAAGAGCCTGCAGGAGTCCGAAGGGCGTCCGAGGTTGACCCGCTCGAACGACCTCCGGTACCGCGTTATGCCAGGGTCATACCCATTCAACACCCTTCAGAACAGCTCCAAAATGTTCTTGCCCCGAATTGCATATGGCCGCACACCACGGTTTCCGCCCTGCCAGTCTCCGATATCCTACCGTGGCTGGTCCGATGCTGGGAAGAAACTCTTGCAATAGGCCGGCTTCAGAATGTCGGGAGGAGGAACGCAGAACTGTATCATGAAGAAGCCTTGCTCTCGGGGGACAGCTGACTAGGCCCTCGACATCTTTCCCAGCCGGAGCCGTATGGAAGGTTGACTCCATGATATTCCACGACTGGTACCTGATGGAAGGGCAATCTAGCCAGCATAAGCTACCTAGAAGCTCGTATTCTCGGACTTCTTGAGAGGTTTATAAAGAAGCCACGTGGAACGGCCGAATGCTGTACTGCGACGCGAACGTTGCAGTGTCACTCCCTGCGATGGTCTTCCTTCAGTCCACAGTTCTTGGCTTGGTCATTGCGGCCACGGCCTTTGCGCTGCCGTCCAAAGGTAGGGGTACAGTTGGACAGAGAACTACTTCACCGAGCTCATTGCGCCTTTCAGTATTGCCCAGACAAGCCGGCTGTGACACCCCTTCTTACATCCCCTTCAACGAGACGCAGCTCCCGAACCCCTTCGTCCTCAACAATGGTGCCCCTGTCACTACTCTCACGGAATGGGCTTGTCGTCGTTCTCAAATATCGAGCTTGATTCAAGGCTACGAAGCCGGCTATTTGCCTCCTAGGCCCCCGATTGTCACCGCTCAGTTTGCCAGATCTGGGACCAATGCGAACTTAACCATCACTACTGGCGCTCTCGGGAAGACGGTTTCATTCACCCCTACCATCGTCTATCCTACTACAGCCGCCCCGGCTGGTGGATATCCTGTGGTTATTGCCTACGACTTCCTGACTATCCCTGTCCCTGACGGGGTAAGATGTCTAGCTCCTATACGGTACTAAGTTGAAAAGCTCACGAATCCATAGATTGCCATCATGACCTACGGCAATAGCGAAATGGCTGAGCAGAATGACCTGAGTAGCCGGGGCCAGGGTATCTTCTACGATCTCTACGGCTCGAATGCCACTGCTAGCGCCATGATCGCGTGGGCTTGGGGGGTCAGCCGCATCATCGACGCGCTCGAGATTACCCCATCCGCAAACATCAACCCCGCCAAGGTAGCCGTGACGGGCTGCTCACGGGACGGCAAAGGCGCCATGATGGCAGGCGCTTTCGAGCCTCGCGTCGCGCTCACCATCCCACAGGAGTCGGGCTCCGGCGGAGACACCTGCTGGCGTCTGTCCAAATACGAACAGGACATGGGTGATGTCGTGCAGCAGGCGACAGAGATTGTCACAGAGGATCCCTGGTTCTCCGCCAACTTCGACAACTGGGTATACAACATCAGCCAGCTCCCGTACGATCACCACTCGCTCGCGGGCATGATTGCGCCGCGCCCGATGATCTCGTACGAGAACACGGCGTTCGAGTGGCTGAGCCCGCTCAGTGCGTACGGGTGTATGACCGCAGCGCACACGATCTGGGAGGCCATGGGCGTGCCGGAGAACCATGGGTTCGTCCAAGTCGGGGACCATCCCCACTGCGAGTTCCCGACGTATTTGAATGAGTCTCTGTTTGCGTTCTTCGACAAGTTCTTGTTGGACGAGCCGAACGTGAACACGTCGTATTTCTCGACCAACGGCCAGTTCAACGGGACTGCGTGGGTGCCGCAGGATTGGATCAACTGGGAGACTCCCACTTTGACTTAATTTATGTGGTACTTGGGTTCGCGTATCTTTAGTATAGCACACGCTCAAGTAGGTTGTCACGTACCTGGTTCTCCAAATTATTATACGTGTATTATTGGCCGCGAAATCAGCGCGTAAGCCTGCAATTTGTACCCAATTGCGACCTCCGCCTGCTCCCTGCAAGTCTAGAGAGGAGTCAGGAGACGCGACTGTGAGTCTGTGACGGATCGTGGCTCGTCACCTGCACGTGATCGTGACCATTCGCACATAGGCCACAACTTCTCAGACAAGACTTGGAAGTTGAACCGAGCCCCGAAACTTGCCTGAACCACTATCTGCTCGAAGGCGCAGCCGATGGATTCCCCTAGTCGCTCAAACAGTCTGTGGAAAGGTAAAGGGAAGGCGAAGGCGACCGACGTCGACTTCGAGGACCTAAACCCGATTATCACCTACCGACACCTCCATTCTCACAACCTCAGCCCCAGGGACCCTCTGCGAGCTATAGCGTTGTGTGATAGCGATGCCTTTTACGCCGCATGCGAGCAAATGCGTCTTGGGGTGGATCCGGCCATTCCGTTGGTGGTGAGGCAATGGGACTCGTTGATTGCTGTCAACTATCCAGCGAGGAAGTTTGGGATCTCCAGGATGGACAGGTGGGACGATGCGCTGAAAAAGTGCCCGGAGTTGAAGATTGTGCATGTTGCGACATATAAGGAGGGGGACGCGGAGCCTGGGTACTGGGAGAAGCCTGACACTAGGACGCACAAGGTGAGTCGAGGCTAATTTAGATGGACAGGATCGGGGTACTGTAATCGTTGTATACTTACGATGAGGGTGTTGGAACTCAAAGGTATCCCTCGATTACTACAGGAGGGAAAGTGCGAAGATTTATACTATGTTCAAGGAAGGCCTTCCAGGCGCTGAGATCGGTACGTCCTCGTAGTCCTCCATCGCCCGCGATGGCAGAAGGATATGCTCAATCTGTCTTTCGTGTTAAGAGAAAGCATCTATCGACGAGGCTTTCATTGACTTCACACGGCCTGTTCGGGAGAAACTCTTAGAGCGTTACCCTTACCTAGCCACCGTGCCCGACGATGCCCCTGAGGGTATTGACAGTCCGTTGCCTCCTCCGCCACCGATATCATGGGATGGCCTCGGGGTCGTAGTTCCCATTCATCCAACTGCTGACGAAGAAGAGCAACTCTTGGAAGACGACAACCTGACAACCTGGTCCGATGTCGCGTTATCAATAGCTGCAGAGATGATGGGGAAAGTCAGAGCGGATATCCATGCGACCCTGGGATATACGCTTTCGGCGGTACGTATGTGCATGATTCAATGGTGGGTTGTGGTGCAATCAATTCGCCGCCTAGGGTATAGCAAGAAATAAGTTTCTGGCTAAGGTTCGCTACGCAGCTATGACAAATTGCGACCTATGTGATGACCTCAGTTGTAGTTGACTGCCTCGTATAGGAAGCCAAATAACCAGGTAAGTATCAAATTGTCATCTAATGACCCGACACATGCAGATACGGAGATCAGAGTATTTTGCGAAACTATGCTATACCGGATTACCTTAAGCCGATGCCATTTCAGAAGGTCGGTCTCCCTGCTTCTCTTGCGCCCGCGTCTCATCCGGCGTTCTTCATAGATCCGCTTCCTGGGAGGCAAGCTCGGGGAAGCTTTGGCCAGAGAGTACGACGTCAAGACATGCGGAGATCTATTGTAGGCAGCTCTCATCCTGACTTTGATACGTCTGTGATGGAAATCATCAATTACTCTCAACAGGCCTATCAGTCTAGGTATGCTCGGGCTAGAATACTTCAGCGATTAGCCTCCTTTTGACTCTGTCATACAGAAGAAATGCAGCGGAAATTCGGAGAGGATTCAATATGGGTGTACGAGATTCTTCGGTATGCCCTGTCCAGACTTTCAGCGTCACGCAGGACCTGATGATTGAGCCCTGCGAAGTGGTATCGATCGGAGCGAAGGTAAGCCATCGCCCATGTGTAGAGATGTGATGATTACCATCCCGTATTTGCTGATGGTCTGTCAGTGAAAGAGAAATCAGCCCTGACGAAAAGTATGCTGGCCTCGAAGAACCTTGCGGAGCCAGTTACCAAGCCTTCCGAAGGGAGCCATTGGATTCGTGTCCTTGCAGCAGAATTGACTCTCCGGCTGAACGACGCGAGAGAGCAATCACCGGGTCTATGGCCCAAGAGTATCGTTCTTAGCATCCGCCAAGGTGATTTCTCTGTTCCCTCGGCAGGTCGGCAGCATGCTTAGCCTCCACGATTTCCCACGCAGGCTGGCATTTGGGACGTTCGAAGCAGGCACCTTTCCCTTTCTCTCGGACAGTGACCGCGGACCTCATTGCTGCTGCGGGGGACAAGCTATGGAAGGAACTCATCGGTTTCGACGACTCTAAACCGTTGCCGATCAAGATCACCCATGTGGGACTATCCTTCACTGGCATCGCGTCCACGGAGTCGGGCCAGCGGAATATTGAAGGCTTCTTCAAGGCTCCGGACTCAATGAAGATTGAAGAGCGCGGCACTAAGCGCAAGAGTTCCGCCACCACTGAAGAATGCGCCGAGTCCACCGCCATCACGGCCAGTCGGATCGTCAAAGATCTAGACCCTGGGGCTTCCTCTCCCACGTACTTCGACTGCGGACGATGTGGCAAACGAATGTCTCTTCCTGATGACATCTGCGACGCTGAAGTAGGAGACGATATCAAGAAGCAAGCGCTCGCCGTTTTGCACACTGCACATGAGGACTTCCATCTGGCTCTGGACCTGTCACGGATGCCAGAGGAGGGAACTAAGACTGTGAAGTTTCGGCCTGATCCCCCGAAGAAGAAGAAAGTCAGGAGGTCCGAGCCGGGAGGCATTGCCAGGTTCCTTGTGAAGAAATGACATAAGTGGACATCTATGCTATTTATTATATAAATTATGAAGAATGGCATACGAGTGACAATGATATATTAGAGCTTGATTACTACTGACCGTGGCGAAAGATTCAATTTGCCCACCGATATCTGCCAGTGGCATCGAGGGAGAGAAGCATCATCTGCATTCTAGTGATACGTATATCAATCCTTTCGCCGTAGCTACCAACACAGCCCCTTAGATTTCTCAAGCAGTAGAGTACTAGTCGAGCACAGAACCGCATTCAATCAGGGTGCCTCGGTCATCCACGCACCTTCACATTCACAAGCGGTTACACAATTTCGTCGCTCTTCGACTGTTTGCTACTGTACCTTTGTGAACCGTTGCATAGGATGGGTACGAGTTGGAGAGTGGTCCATAGATATAGAGGCTGGGCCTGTGATTGATGAAGCGCTACAGCGTGTCTCCGCATCCCAAAATACACATGTGCATCGCTCTGACATTCGGGGAAAGACATGCGAAGATCGTATGTCATAATACACACTGGCGGAGTGCGCCCAGGACTCGCCGTGCAGACTTGATACAAGTTTCTTCGTTGGTAACTTTGGCTTTGAGTGTTGTGTATTCCTCGGACGCCCGCCGTATCAGTGCTTCCCGGGTCCTACCGGAACGTGAAAGTACTGTAAATTCCCGATACCCGAAGTCGGCAACAATACATCTGCATCGTCTGAAATAGTTCTGGTACTAACGAGGCACCCTAGACATTGCCCATCAATCAGTTCACGTATAGATCATGATGCGCAATTGGACGCGGCGGCTACGGTGGGACAAGTACTCCTGAAGAGAGCTCACGAACTCCTCAAGGTTGTCACTCGACCCCCTTGTTAGAGGTCAGACATCTTCGGTTTTCAGCTTTTCTTGCCCTGGACGGGTTTGTCTTTCTTTGTGTCTTCCTTCTTCGTCACGACTTTCTTTACGACTTCGCTGGGCGACACTTTACTTCCGTCCTAATCTTCGTCAGTCGTCAGGAACACGACAGGATACGCTGTAGACCAGCTTTTACGTCTGCGAATAGGTAGCTTGTTGATTTCCGACATACTGTGCGCCATAGTGCGATGTCCGAGAGCATAGTCCAACCATTGACCCAAGGACAAGCCTCCAGTGCAATTGTGAGTTTTACACGCTCCCCTTCTCCCCTTGCTCAGTCTCTATCGAGCTGATTATTCTAACAGGCACTGGTTATCACTGGGCTTGTTTCATTACTCGCGGCTATATGTGTTCTCCTCCCTGTACTTTGGGAGGGTGCGAGGTCCATGCTGTTCAAGTCCGCTTCTCAGGACCGGACGAAAGTATGGATGTTCTTTTCTACGCCCCTGGGATGGTATACCGCCTCGCTCCTCATTGGCACAGCAATAACTGATGTCCACGGGCTGCTGGAAACCAAATGGATTTCGGCGAAAGCCATCTCACGAGGTGCGTTTCGACCCTTCTGATTGAATGCGACAAAATTTACCGTGACTGTAAGGCTTGTCGAACTGTCAGACCCAAGGTATGTCCATTCTGCCACGATGTTCTACGCCTTGCTCATCCATTGTTTCAGCTGCGTTCGAGCAGATAGGGACTTTCGCTACATCATATTTCACCGTCTGCATTGCTATTCACGGGTTCAACAGCCTTGTTTTGAGGAAGCGCTTTCCGGTTTGGGCCAGCGTGATATATACATTGCTAGGATGGGCATCCTCCATCATTACAGGTCCGTCCCTCCAGGTGCTTGACCGTCCCAGTGTTGGCTGAATAATATTTAGGGCTGGTGGTGCCGATGCTCAATCGGCCCGGGTCTGGTCTGGTCTATGGTGATAATGGCTACGCATGCAGCATCACTAGGGAGTACCCCCTTCTGGAATTTGTCTTCCAACTCCTGCCCGTGAGTTGAATTTACGCTATATCCACCGGTGAAAACATATCTTCATCCTTCACTACAACAGATCATCGCCACCGCCTTGGTATCCGCGGTCCTCTATGCAGTGATGTTCCTTGTGCTACGAGGAACCATTCAGGTGAAGGGTGGTATATCGCTCAACCTCGATCCGAATATCAGATGGACAGGGATTGGAACAGATTCCGCAGAATATCAGCGATTCATTGGAGCCATCGTGCGCAGTATGATCTTGTAGGTGACCTGGTGTGCTGTCCTTACTGCTGCTGACCTGGTCTATCAGATATCCTTTTGGTTTGTGTTCATCTCAACCATCCATATTTCATTGATCTTAGACGTGCCGCAGCATACACACTGCTCATGATGCCTCTGTGCTTCGTGCGACTGATAACTATGTCGAAGAATCCTGTGTCATTCGGTGCGGGCATATTTGCGAGTTCATGCCGCTTACTGCTGGGTAAGCGCATCTTCCGTTTCTCACTTGTATTTAATACTCAGTCGCTGCAGGCCTCGTGGACGCTTTGATCGTTTACAAGATTTTGCGTGTTCTGCGTCCTGTGATCGATGCTTCGAACGTTCGCAGATACGAGTCTCAAGAGAGCTTTTCCGCTCCAGAGTTGAAGCCCTCTCCAGTGGAGCCTGCTCAGCGACCCCCGATAACACCGGCTAGGGCATTCCCTCCGCCACGAAAGAGTGCCGACGGAAGGCCCACCCCATCAATCCGTACTATGCCAAGCACGGTGTCTCTAAATGGCTCAGATACTGGATCGACGTATCCTTTACTTCCCGAGCGACCGTTTATGCATGCGCATACCCGTAGCACTTCGAGTGGGCTTAGCAGCGTCACCGGGGCTATATCTCGTCCTATTACGCCAGTCTCGGAACTTAACAGAGCACTCGCCGGCCCTTCGCCCATAGCGAGGCCTGAGGCCATGAAATCTGCCAGCGCTACTCCGTACACAATCTCTCGTTATCCGACCCTAGCCATCAAGAAGTCTTCCGAGTCCCTTGGTCTACCCCCACCTCCACGACCGAGCCGGTCACCCGTAACCCGCAAGCCCCCGCCTATCTTCACTCCAGAGCCTGATGCGGGCGCTGATGATAATACCGCGACCAAATCCGCGATCCAGCAAGGGCCGCTCCAGTGGACATCCGGGTACGTGGACAAGTCGCAGGACCCTCCTGCAATGTCCCTTAACGCTGCCAGGATCGATTTCTCCTCCCGACCGTCCGTCAGCGCCGTCACAGCTCCGGCTGAGACGATAGCTGATAATCGTACTCAGTCAAGCGATACCGATGCTGGCCGCCTTCCCGTTGACAATGAAGGCAAGTTGTCATCAGTGGCATGGGCAACCCTTGTAGCCAACGCTGCCACAAAGGACGTAGGAGGAATGACTCTATCCTCTCTGGGAAATGACAGAAGAGATCCGGATGTGCCGCTTGATGTGTCTCCTCCAGTACCTTTTGTACTGCGGCCGGGTACACCTTCCTTCGCCAACCCGGATTTCAGTTTCCCTAGCTTTGGCCAGGGTGGTCGTGACCGTCAGGCTAGCACGAGTAGCTCGTCTAGCAGCAGCATCGGAGGTCGGACGATGACACCAGAACCCAGGTTACATCCCGAGCTAAGGGAGACGCAGCGTGACGCGCTGGCTGTGCGTCAAGATTCTGTGGTCTCTCGCGCAGCGACTCCAGCGTATTTCTGACTGGGCATCCATTGCTCTAATGTCTTCACGCTGCACTTCACGACCTCATGGGGATGGAGTAACTATTGTGGCTCTGGCATTCTCGAGTGGGACATTTGCGTCGGGACGCTTTCGTACTACTTGGCTAACATAGACTGCAGTCTTCTACATGTACTTATGTTACAGTTGTATATTATTATCGCTATCTAGTTGAACTAGGATGTGGCTCGTACTCCAGGACGCCGAGAGCCCAACGTTCGAAGCGGTCATTCTAACGGATCCTGGCATTATGGCAGTGCCAGTCTCGTACTAGTACAGACGTTCTACAATAAACTACAGAGTGCGTAATAGTAGAGGCATACAGTGAAACCAAGAACTCAAACCAACACCCATAACAATAGTTCCTCAAAGCAATAACCCAAAGGAATTGAGGAGATACAGAAGCGATGTAATGAGCGGCAGTGGTGGGTGGACGATGACCACTAGTAGTAGAAACCCCGAAAGAAAAGAATGTGAATGTCCTCATAAATCTATGAAGCTCGAACCATGTTCGCTTCCCTCGTCCACAGTCGGTAGCGATGCCTTGGTATCTCGCTTCTTCCCCAATAACGAATTCTTGATACTCCATGAAGATGAGACGCCGTCGCCGGGGTTCACACAGAAGTCACTGGAGCTGGGACTCGAGAGCGAACTTGATCCTCGCGAGCTTGTATAGCTGGTGTAAGTTGTGCTAGTAGTCGTACTGCAGCTAGAGCTCCCACTGTGGATCCGCGCTAGGCGCCTCATTGCGAGTCATTCGTCGTTTGACGGCTCCCCTTCCTCGAAAATCGACGAATCGGTCTCGCTGGATTGAAAGCTGGCGTGGGAAGGCCTCAGGTTCCCGTCACTCCGGCTGCGCGAAAATCGGAAACCTTTGGATTTCGACGAGGAAGGGGTCTTTGGTTTGAGGAAGGGTAACTGTATTTTGGTAATGTTACCAGAGCCCCCGCGCCCAGACGAGATCTGCGAACGTATAAATACATGCACCGAATGAAAGACGGAGGGTACTGACTGCAGCTACTCGGCGTTCTTCCATGCGCTTTCGGATCACCGCCTTCTCGTACTCTGCGACCGATGCGGCATGGTCAGACAGGATGGAAGCCGTCTGCGTCAGCCCCTCGTGCACTTGATCCCGCCACGAGGCATGGACATTGCCAGCGCCACCACGACCAACGGACACTGCCTAGAGAGAGAGACATTAGCGCGCGCAGCCGCAGTACTCGAGGCTGATACTCACCTTCTTGATAGGAAGGGCAGGTTCCCTGCCGACGGGAGATACTGGTGTGTCCGGGACAGACGCGTCTGGTTCCGAGGGATTCTGAGAGGCATCGGATTTGCGTCGAATGTTGCCGCTGCCACCGCGTCCCGACGATCGCTGAGGTTTGATCAGCTTTGAGTCAAATGTCAAGTAACGCGTAGTGAGCTATACGGACAAACTGCCGCGTCCTGCTAGCCGTCGAGGAACTGCTTGACTCCGACGAGGCGTAGGAGTGTATAGACCGAGTATCCAAGGACAACGAAGATAGAGACCTGGTAGCGACTGGCACGGACATGGTCAGGAAGGAAGAAAGGTTGCAATGCTCCGGAGGAAGCGGTGAGGCATAAAATACACAGCGCTAACAAGTGGATGCGGTCATTCTGTAACAGCGATCTTGTCAGATCTAGCGCCCCTAGCACAGCGACAGGACACGGCTTGATCCATTTCTAGTATATGGGATTGTGATACCGAAGCCTTGCGATAAGCAGAGGCACGGACAGATCTATAGTCAACTTGAAGTACCTCCGGCAGCACGCGGCAGAGATCCCGTAGAAGCGCTACATAGTGCTGCCGCATGCAGTACAGAGCACTAGGTCTGCCTTTTGCCGCGTACCATCAATGTCCCCAATGTCCTGCAGTGGAGTCCTGTACTAATGCAATATATCTTGTCAGCCAAGCTGGCGGGTCTTCGTCTCATGGATGTTCAGACGTCAATTTGGAGGTATGGATGTGTAGTCGTGTGTACACTGCACATGGCCATCCTCTGATAGATATGGAAACGTATGTTAACTTGAACGGCATTCACACACCCGTACCCATGGCCAGTTCGCAGCATTCTATACGATTTGGCTTATTTTGGCTGTGATTGGCATGGTCGGACGTACCATTCCACTGAGAAGCTCGGCGCCGTGCGAATGGATGTTCCAGTAGGTCCTCAAAGATAGTCGGGGTCGAGGTCATTGATAGGTGCTTGCCGACCGATAAGGCCAGCAATCGCAGCGCAATAGCCGAGAGGTGAGGTACCGGTGGGGAAGTAGACCCGTTATCGTAGAGCACAGCATAATGTCCCATTTCGAGCTCAGTAGACATTCTCAGGCACAGCATGCCACATCCTGCCACACGACCACAGCTGCGTGATTGCTGTACATACAGCTTGTCGCTGCACGGCAGTTTGAACCCTTCCAGCTGTGAGCGACCAACTCAGCTTTGCTTGACGTCGACGTTATGTTACCATACCGGTACTGAAAGTCAGACAACATAGCACGCAGATTTCTTTCCTGATGCTCAGCAGCTTCCAACAAGCTTCTGACGTGATAATTTGCTAGGGACAAAGATAGGTCCACTTCGGCGACTCCTGAGGCCTGAAGTCTGGGAGCTTGTTTGCAGCTCGTGGGACGAATTGAATCTCCTGAAGGGACTCTAGGCCTACCCGGTGGTGACCCCGGCAAATGAGAGCCGATGTAGGACGTCGGGGTATACAGAACACTATACCTGTTAGCATTGGTCAGCTACCGGGATGTTAGTAACCGCGCTGAGCGGGTACGTAAGTCGTCCCGGCCGGAGTACAGGGGATACCCGTTGCGGAGGAAAGGGACGGGTCAAACTATGATATGTACATGACTATCGTGGCGCTGATCCATCTTCCTGTTCACCCTTGGCATTGATCATGACTCCGCTGATTGCTACAACCTAAGCTTCGGTAAGGCCGCGAATGTTGGCAACCAACCCGCAGTTCCGTCTCTGACTTGATGTCTCGGGCTTTGAGGGGCTCCTCCACTTCTCTCATCTCACTGAAGGAAGAGTCTTATAGGCAGGCTCCTCTGCAACAGGCTAATTGGACATCCTCCTTAAACGCCTGAGACGATTGGGGGAATCACATCGTTTGGTCTGATTTGAACGGCTTATAAATCAAGATGGCAAACAGCCTTACAGACAGACATCTCTTGATAGTAACGCACCATGAAGGATACCGTATGATAGGATGACCTCAGCGATGAAGGCATAGCGCGTAGTTTTGAATTGTCACCAGGTCGAGGAGACAGAGGCCTTCACGTCATCGTCCTACAAGCCAGTTTCGCTAGGAAATCATGATGACATTAGCATCGCCTGCTGTTCCCTCCCGAAGTCCGGGATCATCGCGCCAGTCCCTGAAGCAGCCTTCCAGTCGGTTGTTTCTCGTTCTCGACAAAGTCACGTCGCAGAGAAGGTGAAACATTGGAGTACAACATCAAAAGCTAAAGAGCCAGGATGACCCGCGGAGATACGTGAAAACCGTTGAGCCAAGCCTAAGCAAGCTCTGAGCAAGGGCAAGCGGCTTTAAGCTCATAGCGTCCCCGAGTCGGTTGATGGATGTGCGCCTCAGCAGCTACGGATCCCTTCACTGACACAGAGAAACGCGTCTGAACGGGAGACGAATATGAGAAGCGAGTAGCGGGCACAACCACGCACCGTCTATTCCTGAACAGTATCTGGCATCACTGAGCAATACCATGAACCGAAAACCTAGGAATGCGAAGACCGTTTCTCACTTACGCCGGGTTGCTAGAAACTCCGGAAGGTCAGCTAAGAAGACCAAGCGGTGATTAACACCATCCCATCCAAGTATGCTGCCTAAAGGCATGGTTGGTAAGCTGGATATGATGCTGGTGATAGAGTGAAACCAGTCGCACGTCCTGTTTGGACCGAAAGAGTTGAAGTCATTAGTATGTGGCTCTTAGTGTCGTCTTCAACGCCAGAAAAATGCATCCCGGTCGGCTTGCAGTGCATCACTCGCAATGAGAAAACTGTCATGTTATGACACAGCCAGAAAAACATCCTCCCAAGTGTTTGTGTGCTTGGGCGCCATCTCCGCGCGCTGCGCCTGTGGGAGACGACGAGTCCCTCCGAGGACCACTGCTCGTTTGCTGTGCCGAGGATCCCGCCACCTAACAACCAGAGTTAGTCTTGCAGTTTTTATTTACCGTCCATAAGATAATCATACCGGATTCCGCCTTCGTATCTCACGGGCTAATTCATGGAACGCGTCGTCCACATGCAAACCGGTTTTCGCAGAAGTCTCGACATACATGAATCCCCATCTCTCCGCGAGAGCCTGGCCCTCTTCGGGTACATCAGAGAAGCGCACACGTTCAACCAGAGCAGTTTACATACCGCTCGTATCCACTTCCCGGTCCTCGTTCAGGTCGCACTTGTTTGCAACGATAATCACGGGACAGGAGAGGTCACCTCTGACGTGGAGCAGCTCCTTATACAGCGACTCGAGCTCTTCAAAGGAAAGCCGGTGTACGACGGAATAAATGAGCAGAAATCCCTCACTCTGGCGTATACCTGGGTGGCGCATGGATCTGGCAAGTTGGAAATGCTAGAATTTTGAGTGGCCCTACTCAGCAATATTAATGGTGATACTGACGGGCGCTCCCAGCAGCGGGGGAGCTCGTAGATATCGAGAATCACTATCTCGTCGTCTAAAACAGTCTGTTTGCGGGGCGGGTCTGTTATATGTCAGGTGTCAGCGGAAGTACCTTGATCACGTTAGGTGCAGACATTCGAAGTCTGAATCATATTCTTCGACAAACTGTTTCTGCGTGAACTGCAGACCCAGGCAGGATTTCCCAACGCCTGTGATAGGTATAGATGTATATATCATGCTAATGCGGGTAATGAAATTCTATTGACCCACCTCCACCTCCCATCAGGCAAAGTTTATACTCTCGTACTCCAGGCATAAATTTCCGAGTGTGTGTTACGATGGGAACGTACGAGAGGTGAAAGGTAACAAGTTCAGTAGACGTCGGTGGAGTAGTAAGGCGGGACCCCTAAACAGATGCTTGCAGATTAAATATAAAGAGAGTACCGGACATCTCTGCCCAGAAGGTAAGCATCAGGAGAATCTTCCACGGACTATCGAATGTCCATCACGGGACATGGTATATCACTGACTCCAATTTGACACCCCCATAAACGTAACTATGCAAATAAGGGACAGTGATGACGAGTTATCATTGTTCTGAAGGTTCGTATGATGGGAGTTCGAGGAGTAAAAGAGGCCGGGCGGAGTCAAGAAAGCAAGTGATAACCGGCCCGTCCTTCAGATATCGAGTACAACGCTTGTCAGAAATCCCCGAGTGAGGACACGGAGCTGTGACTACCCTTTACCTGACCGACCACAAACGCCTGCGGCTGATGACTCTCAGTTGTGTAAGCACCGCGACAATTACTGCCGCAAGAGAGCGAGATGATGACAAAGGGAACTGACCTGTAGCTGTACGACTAGGCCTATACCACGACAGAATGAGATAAACGCGGCCTGACGTCGCCCTCCACGGAATGATTTGTCCTGCGCTATTATATCCTTAGATGGGGAGGCTGGGTGTCCCACCTGCTGGTATGAGTGAGCGTGGTACGATTCCTTCAACGCACCTAAAATATCGTACACGAGTTCGCCTCCGAATTTCGCGCAGTAGGTCGTGAAACGCATCATCCACCTGTATGCTGATCTATACCGAAGTCTCAATGAACACGCATCCGAGTTTATCAGCGGATGTCCTGCCCTCTGATGCAGCATAAGGCAAGGACAACTGAGAAGATAAGATAATAGGTATCTGCCTTACGCTCGGTACTCACTGCCCGTCTCTGGTCCAGGTCGCACTTGTTGCCAACGACGATGGCAGGATACGACAGCACACCCTTGATGTGAAGCATATCCTGTTAGAAAGCCTGCATTCTTTCGAATGACTGTCGTGAGGTCATAGAATACACAAGCAAAAAGCCGTCGTCCGAGTGGCCCAGGCGGGTACACTGGTTTCGTGGCAATGTGCTATGTGCGTAAGCAGCGTAACAGGCCTGGCACCACTTTTTACGCTGGACAGGGTCGGAACCGAGGATCTCAAGCTGCGCGGTTTCATTGTCTGTGACGGTCTCTTGGTGAAACATGTCTATTGGATTACGCGTAAGCTAGAGAACCTCAGCTGCTCTGGGGACAGACCTTCAATCCCAGGATCATATTGTTCAGAGAGGTGGTCTTGGACAAATCGAGAGACTAATGAGGACCTCCCGGCAGCTATGGTAATGTTAGGCATCATCCCTGTGAAAGGAAGATTTCCCTATTGACGCCCTTCCATTTCACAGGCTTGCAGAAGAATATCAGCGGAGAAGATGAGCCAGGAGGGTTCATGATCTTCTGATATCGCGAGCTTTAGTCTGATAATGAGGGCATTCCCACATATTTCACCTGCTGCACTGACAGATAGGATTAGTTCGTGAACTATTTTCCAGGAGGCTCTGCGCTCGCAGGCAGGAGTTAGCGGTCGAGCAGAGATCGTCGGAGCAAAAACGACCAGGAAGAGGTTAATCCCCTCCTACCCGCAGGACACCAGGGGAAAATCTGATCAAAAAATATGTATCCTGAGAGAGAAGCCAAGAGTCCGCTATCTGGCAGCAAAGCCTGGGTATGATGCGGTTCGACTTCCAATAAGGCGGATGCAAGCGGTTCCAGGAACGCGTAGCCTCATTGGCCAGCATACTGCCGTGAAAGAAAAGCACTTGGTCTACCAGGAGGCTCAGGCTATGATACAGCAGGAACAGGCTCGTGGATCGTCCTGCCCATAAGGTATTTCGCGGTGCGGCTTATCACCGGCGGGAGAGTTTGGGTCTCTCCACGTACCATTACTTAGCTGACGAGCTCTTGACCCGGCCTACAGGCCAGAGTGAGCATGGAACTCTGTCACGCTGTACATGGGATTCCGCACCAGATTCCGCTTTCTGATCTCACGCACCAAATCGTGGAACGCATCGTCCACCCGCATGTTGTTTTTCGCCGACGTCTCGACAAACAAGCATCCTAACTCCTTAGCGCGGGCGCCGCCCTCTGACACAACGTCAGACAGGGACGATGCAGTATTGGATGGAGTCTTCGGCTTACCTCTCATGCTCACTTGCCGTGCCCGGTCCAGGTCGCATTTATTTGCCACCATGATCGCGGGACACGAGATGACGCCCTTGACGCGGAGCAGCTCCTCATACAACCGCGGGATCTCTTCGAATGATTGCCGTGATGTAATGGAGTAGACAAGCAAGAAGCCTTCGCTCGTACGCATGTACTGGTCGCGCATGGCTCTAAAGCAGTCAGCATTGTTTGGAGAGACAGCATAGTGATAGCTAAACTGACTTGTACTCCTCCTGCCCAGCCGTGTCGAGGATGTCGAGAAGGGCTATTTCGTCATCTATTACGGTCTGCTTGCGATACCAGTCTATGGTAATATGGGTAAATACGATCCTCCGGACTATATTGTATGCGCACCTTCGATTGTTGGATCATATTCTTCAACGAAGTGGCTCTGTATATACCGAACCGTCAGGGCAGACTTCCCAACACCTGAAAACGTCTACGTCATCCTATTGCAAGTAGGCATAGTCAATGGACCCACCTCCATCTCCTAGTAGGCAAAGCTTATATTCACGTAGATTAGGTGTAGTTTCCCATGGATTTGCTGCCATTGAGATAGATGGAGGAGGGAAGGGGCAAAAAACTGGGTAAACGTCGATGAACCGAGGATACTGAAGCGCGCAACGACAAGTTACAGGTATACAGTGTAGACTAGCAGAGTTGCCCAAGTTCACGGCATATCAGATGGCTACCACAGCAGTTTTCCTATACTGTCGATCAAGTGTCCGTCTTCGAACGTGATATATCAACATGCGGAGTCAAACGGGTTGGGGCTGGCGCAGGGACGATGACCAACAATCTCCACAGTTAGATTGTTGGTACTCGAAAGGGGAGCGGAGCAGTCTGATTGGGTCCCAATAGAAGTCAGGTACTAAGACAATCCCAACAGCGCACACACCTTGATATATATATGGAATCATAGTAATGCAAGGAAGGAACCAGGACGAAAGCAATGGGAGCCAAGTGACATCTTGCTGCATCCGTTCGGAACGTGATACATTCATTATTCAGGAGAACATAAAACTACGAGACCGCAGTAGACGAAAGGGGCCACCAGCGTCACCGAATACGGAGACGTTGCAGCGAGTAGCAAGGTACGCCCGCGATTATGCATCGCTGCGTGATAGTGATGAACTGCCAAAGAACAGAAATAGCCAGATCATCTTTCACAGGTCATGCCGCATTGCCAGGATATGGGCTGTCGCGTGCAACGCACAGGTACTACAAGCACTCTGTGCGTCTGCGCCCGGAAAGAACGATTAGAGAGCAACAATCAGGCCGCTGGGATAACCGTGGAGGGGTCGAACAGCAGTGCGAAATGACAGACCAGTAATGATTCTCCGGATCCCAGGAACAGAGCCTCTGGGAGGCGCAGTAATTTTGACCTCCACCCATCGCAGCCAAGCAAGGACCTCGGAGGTCTCTTTTCGCACGGATTGGAGTAACAATTCCATATGTGAGATCTTTCCATGCAGCAGCACCAAATAAGTTCTAGCAAGTAGATGATACCCCGAGCATGGGTGTATCAGGATCTGATCATCACTTGTTGGAAGTTGGAAACTAGTCAAAGCAAGCCAGAGCTGCAGCATGCTTTTTGAAACGTTAAATCCTCTGTAGAGCAGATGCGCTAGTGAAAAGCGGGCTAGGAGGGACGATGGTGGAGTGTAGAGACGAAGGACTCAAGTACGATGCGGACGGACTTGAACTTGAAAGGGAACGGTGTGACAGTAGTGTGTTACACGTGACATCCGCCCATTATACCTCGGAGGGACATTGCAACTCTTCTTTAGGGCCCTCCATCACCCGGACTCGCTCGTCTCGTCTCCCCCTTTCTCTCTTCTACCGCCCACCCTTTCTTAACTTCCGTTAGCTTTCCTTCTTGCTCTTTGAAGCGAATCCGAAATGTCTAGGGTGCGTTTGTCTCAGCGGGTCGCTTCGCAACAGCGAGTGGTAGCATGACGACTCTGACCTTCACGGGAGCAGGCCCAGTTCTTGCGGGAGTACAAGCTTGTCGTGGTCGGCGGTGGTGGTGAGTTTCGCACCATCATTGATTTCGCGAGACGAGCAGTTGCTGAACACCCCTATTGCCTGCCAGGTGTCGGCAAGTCCGCGCTGACCATTCAATTCATTCAGAGTCACTTTGTGGACGAGTATGACCCCACAATAGAGGGTGCGTTCGTTCACTGCCGTACGTTTCCTATATCATAAAAGCATTCTTCTAGACTCATACCGGAAGCAATGCGTGATCGACGATGAGGTCGCCCTGCTCGACGTCCTCGATACCGCCGGTCAGGAGGAGTACGGGTATGTGTCAGCCTGATTCCGCCTTGCTCAGAGCCTGATTCTAGAATTCTTGTGTAGTGCCATGCGTGAGCAATACATGCGCACGGGCGAGGGGTTCCTGCTGGTGTACTCCATCACGTCGCGTAACTCGTTCGAGGAAATTAGCACGTTCCACCAGCAGATCCTCCGGGTGAAGGATAAGGACTCGTTCCCCGTCATCGTCGTGGCGAACAAGTGTGACTTGGAGTACGAGAGGCAAGTGGGCATGAATGGTACGTGTGGACATTACTAGTTCCGCACCGTCGCTAAAACTCGCGACAGAGGGCCGCGACCTTGCCAAACATTTCGGCTGCAAGTTCATTGAGACCTCTGCCAAGAACCGTATTAACGTCGACGAGGCATTCAGTAACCTCGTCCGTGAAATCAGAAAGTACAACAAGGTATGTTATCCTCTTCCAGTCACTACTGCCACTTTCTTACACAGTGCTCGACGCCATAACAGGAGCAGCAATCAGGCCGCCCTGCACTTCCGAGCAACGCTTCCGCGGGCCCGGGTGTCTACAACAACCCGAACGACCGCCACGACGAGGGCACGGCGGGCTGCTGTGGAGGATGCATCATCGCTTGACCGTCTCGTCTCGTCCCCATCTCGCCTCTTTCTCTCTTCTACTCTACGTCTACCTTCTCGTCATTGCACTGCATCCATCGTCCTGCTTTCTGGTGTCTCTCCGTTTGCTAATGTATGCTATTATGTTCACCCCGTTTTCTGCAAGCCCCTCGTTCCGACCTTCCTCTCTTTCATGGATACCTGATCATCATATCAAACCATATACTTTCTGACAAAATGCACTGTTTGTGGGTGGACTTGTCTATATACTTTCTTGGAATGCGGAATTCATCGAATGTATTATTGGAATAAGAGTTTAGATCGCGTCTGCATTTGCGCTATCACTGTGAACCCCGGCGACGGGTATTTTCACCATGTAACCGGGTGAAATTCGTGAATCACCCAGAAAGTGGGTGACAGGTGGGTACTGGTGATTGCATGGTTGAAATTCACCTTCTCCATTTCACCCAGAAGCTGGGTGAATTTACCCGGACGAGAAATGCATGCTTACCGATACCGAAGATATGGGTAAAAATCACCACATGAAATACTCGCCATCCTAATTGTCTCATAAATCACATTCAGTTCATTTCTTTGAAATGTAATACGCTGAACTCTGTGTACTGTGTATAACTATACAGAATTTGAAGTGAGATGGTCGTCGACAGTACAAGTAACTGATGGTCTCTGACGCCGCTAAGTCGTGATTTGCGTAGTGCTGGTACCGTGAGAATCTCCGAACGGTCAGCGCCACTTATGACGCGTACGTTGCATAGTCCAAGTTGAACTGCGACCACCACCTCCTCACCCACCACCTCCTCCAGCCGTGCTCTCTTTTGTGTTTTAGGTCTGGAGGGCTCGCTGTTGTACATCTATTCAGAGCACGACGGACGACGACAACCTGACGTGTGTGCTAGGTACCCTTTGACGCGCTCAATTTGATCTAGGGAACAGAGTTTGGGGCTTGCGGATGCCGATACCTAAAGGTATGATACACTTCATTGTGTTCCAGAGGCAGTCTGCGACTGATCATGCACTACAGGATAATAGGTGAACACAAGCGATGCGAGGAATCTGCGCCGATCAATAGTGTGGACCACCCGTTGACATAGCTATGTTTGAATGCGAGTCGTTGGGGGCCGCAGACGCGGCAAGTCGCTGACTTGCTTAGCACGCCATGACGCTAGGAAAGCCATGACGCTAGGAAAGCCATGACGCTAGGAAAGCCATGACGCTAGGAAAGCCATGGACTTGCCGATGATAGATTAGGCTCATTTTCCATCCCATCTACAGCTTCGTTACTGGGCATCACGAATGCGCTTTGTGAAATCGGACATGATGCCGCGCCCGCGGCCAAGGGCAGTAGCTATATGTACCTGTCCGTTCCCGCAAGTGCTGGAGATACCTTTTACGAGGCGCTAATTACTCCCCATTCTCGTGTCTTCAATCTCCCTTTTTCAATGGCTTTGATCTCTAGACGGCCTGCCAAATGGTGTAGCCCTGAAGACTTACGTAGCGCAAGATCACTCGAGTAGAGTCACGATGCCGCAACGTTGCCTACGTTGCAAGTTAGCTGAGTTTATGAGCTCATGCTCTAAAACCATGAGTGAGGAAGACCATTGTACTGGTGGCAAAATGCAGGCGGGGATGTCCCGAGTACCGCCAGACATTGCGTAGCTCCATTTCATGATGAAGTCCCCAGACTGGGCCTAACTTCTCCGCTGCGTAGGGTCCACAGATCTTGCGAACCATTTCACGAGTGTCCCCGAAGCTGCAGGGCATAGTTGAGCTATCAGAGATGCAATGCGGGCAAGAGTTACCCTACTGCATAGACTATCAGATACTGGTCCCGTCCGTGAACTTCAGACCACTAGACGTGTAGCGCTCTATATCGCCTCCTTGCTTTCCGGGCAATCTTCCTATCAATAAGTAGCTGGCTTGCGCTGACATCTTGAATCATTGTTGAGGACCCTTGAGTCCGCATGTGTCGGCCCACAAACTTACCCTTGTAGTACCCACCGCCTTTGCGGTACAGGAGCTGCAGCAACCCAGAGGGCCGAGATTGATCTTGAAACCGACTTTCTGTTGAACTAGGCGCTGACTTAGCTGCCAGGTTCTACAATGTACGAGAACGTACCGGAACTCTCTGGAACATTATGGTATATTCCATTATTGTACAAGGGCACGGAGCTCATGTGGGTCAGTGACATCACAGGTGGAGCTCAGTAGGATTAGGGATACTCCACATAGCTTAGTCAGCCTATGGACCACAGTGTATATAAACCCTGCAGCTCTGCTGCCTAATGACAAGGGTCATTTATACGAGAGCTACAGCATCCAAGCAATACAGGTGAGTTGTGTAGGGCGCACTGTGCGTGCTGCTGCCTCCATAACTCTTCATCAGGTTATGAGCCCAAATAGGCAGCTTGCGTCTGCGCGGTAACTCGCTGCAGCGCATTGCGCCTCGCTCACCTGTGCATTGCCCTATGCGCCCTCACAGGCTGCAGTGTGGCTTGATGCATGATCATCGCCGCAGGAGCTGTTGTCAGCAGCCATCAGGCTTGATGATCGATCCTGGGGTAACTCCCTAATGGAGCCAACAGCATGGAGCAGTGCACCCTTATCGGGCTGCATAGCTTCGCTGATACTGATGAGATCTCAATACAGATTTCAGATCTCTCAATCGCTCCTCAAACAATGTCGAACAATCTGATCACCATTGTCCCTGTCCTCGATGGCTCGAACTGGCCTACCTGGTCCAAGCAGATGATGGCGTACCTTATGTCCCAAGGCCTCTGGGGAATAGTGATGCCGCAGTCCGGTTCCCGAACCTGGGAGAACCGGTTCGATCCTCGGACCGGATCCAGGTTCTGGTCCACGGTCCGGCTTCGGGGTGGACCAAACCTGAAATGAGGTCCAGGTGGAGCCACAATGCCTGAACTGTACCTGAATATGGTAATTTTGAAGGGTTCGAGCCTGAACCTGACCGGACCCAACACCATTTCGGGTTCTTTGAGGTTCACGGTCTGGACACTTACCCGAACTGGACCTTGGGTCTGGTCCCAGGTCCGGAAATTTGGGCCAATAACTGGACCGAGCCGGACTGCGGCATCACTACTGGGGAAATGTGGATGGCAGCATCATGCAGCCAGCTGTCGTCGTCTTTGGTACCACGAGGGACTCTACCGCTGCTGACGCCTGGAAGGAAAAAGATGTCAGGGCTATGGGTACGATCCGTCTGCGCTGCTCTCCCGCCGTCGCCTCCTACATCAAGGACAAGACATCGGCCAAAGAAACCTGGGACCATTTGTCTTCCCTTTATTTGTCTATGTCCCTCAGCGCCATTTACAATGAGCTGCGGGGGGCCTTATTGACGAAGATTCCAGTGGATCAGCACCCTGCTCCAGCGTTCGCGAAGATATCCAAACATTTCAACACTCTGGAAGCGGCCAAGGTCAAGATTCCCACGCTTATTCAAAGTCTAATTTGCCTTTATGCGCTCCCCAGCCGCTACGAGAACATTGCGCAGATGCTGGTCCAAGCTACCTCTGCTGACAACATGAGTATAGGTACAGTACAGGAAGCAGTTACCACTACTTGGGACCAGTCTCAAGGCAAGAAGCCGGAGAAACTCGGTGCGCACAAGATCTTGGCAGTAAAGCGTAAGCCGGGTGATCCCTCCTTTTCTTCGCAGCAGCAGCAGCGCCCTCAGGGCAGCAGCAGCAATGCGCGAGATGGGCAGAGGCACCCTTATTGCGGCAAGTGCGCAGGCAAGAAGCATCAGGGGCAAAACCATGATCACCACCATGCCCATGACGTCTTGATCGCCTCAACTGTCTCCCTTCCTCATCCGACCATCGCTCATGTCCTCGACATCGTGCCCAATGGCAGCAAGACTCAGACGGTTAAAGAGCAAGGTCCATTCCACCCGCCTCCTTTGGTGGATACCAGTCACTACAACAACAAGCGCATCAAGAAAGCCTTCAAGCTCGCGCAGGACCTCCATATAAGTCCCACCGAAGAAGATATCAAGGTCTTGGACACACTCATCGGGCAGCTCGACCTGGACCCGGATGTCAACATGGAGGACGCCGATTCCATCACCTCCAGCTGTGCGTCCAAGCGCGCTCGCTTTGAAGGAGTCGCTCGCGCGGATGACGCTGTGGACAGCGACCACAACAATAACCAGTCTATCGACTGGGGTAGTGACAAGGACCAGGGGGAGACTGTTAGTCTCGGCGACGAGGAAGACCTGGACAGCACTATCGCGGAGGCTGCTGGCTTCGACCAGAATGCCTTTATTGACGAGCACTACTCGTATGTGCCATCTTCCCCTTTACAGGACTCCACTGATGCGCCATCACAGTTAGGGCAGCATAGTGTAGATCTTAACTTGAGTCCTGTAACGTTAGCCTTAATATATTGCACTCATGCGCAAACTTATGCTGCATGTGCAAAATGTAAGGGGAAAGATAAGGCACAACAGGGTAACACCTGGATTCTCGACTTGGGGGCCTCTCGGCATTTTACTTATGACATGAGTGACTTCATCGACTTTGAGGAATTTAAGCAACCTGCGACTGCGTCTACCGCGAATGGGTTTGCACGAATACTCGGGTTTGGTACGACGGTCCTGAATTATTATATCAAGGACGTCGGGAACATAACCACTCGGTTATTTCCAGTATACTATATACCTGACCTGAATATTCACCTCATGTCACTTGGAGTATTGCTCCAGGATAAATTAAAAGTGTCTGGCAATGACCGACACATATGTCTATATGAAAAGGGATTGCATGAACCTCTATTCAGGCTTTTACCGCGGCAGCCCGGTGACACTATGTATAGTGTCAGTACAATTCCTGCACCGGATGCGTACTCTATATTCCCAACGATCTATGCGGTTGATTATGGGATTATGCACCGTTGCATGGGACACCCCTCTAAGGAAGTCCTGCAGCAAGCTAGGGAACGCACCAAAGGTTTCCCCACCAATCTGGAGTTTCCATCGGAAGACGCAGTATGCCCTGGATGCGCGGAAGGCAAAATGCCTTCTAAGGCTTTCCCGCCATCCACTCTATGGGCTAAAGAAATGTTTGAGTTAATTCATTCGGATCTTAAGTCATCTCCTGTAGACTCCTACCATAAGTATCGGTACACAATCGTCTTCTTTGACGATTACACCTCCTATGGATGGGTCATGCATATGCGCTCCAAAGGTGCTGCAATTGCTAAGACTTGTCAATTTCTTGCCTACATACAAAATCAATATGGCAGGAAAATTAAGGAGTGGATGTCCGATCCAGGGGGAGAGTATAAATCTGACACATTCATCGAGATGCTCAGAAATGATGGCATAAAAATCCGACAAAGCGCACCTTATGCGCACCAGCAGAATGGTCGCGCTGAGCGCTTTATTCGGACTATAATGGACAAAGCGCAGTCAATGCAGCTAGAGTCCTGCTCACCTCCATCTTGGTGGGAATTTGCGGTAGACCATGCTGTTCACATCTACAACCGGACCCCTTTGAAGCGCCATCAATGGCAGACTCCGTATGAGGTCTTGAACAAAGAAGCTCCCGACATCAAGCACTTACGTGTCTTTGGATGCGGAGCATATGTCTACTTGCCTAAGGAAACCAGACCCAATAAGTTATCGCCTAAAGCTGAGCTGATGACTTACATTGGTGTCGCTGATGGTGGCCATGGCTTCAAGTTCATGCATGCCAATAATAGTATAGTCACTCAGCCTACTGTGCTGTTTGATGAAGCTATGTTCCCTAAATGCCCTAATACAAAGTGACGGGCAAGCACTAGGCTGCAAAGTGCGCCTAAACCAGCTGACAGTCAACCAGAAAATTCTGATGATGACTGGATCACCGATGACAATGAGCCAGACTCACGTCCTCCTCCTAAATCCCAAAAGGGGCCAGGCCAGGATTGTGACGACGAACCTGCGCAGCCTAAGGCGCGAGAGCCTGAGAACCCGCCTTCTCCACCTCCGGGGGATCCTGCGCCACAAGATGAGCCGCGGAGACCGGTGAGAGAAAGGAAACCAGTAACTCGCCCAGGTAATATCTACGGTGAATCGCGGAGTCCCGTAGAAACCTATTGCGAGATTGAGTCAGACAAGAAGTGGAGGGACTTAGTTGGCGAAAAACCTAAGACGTCTCGCATACCTCGCCAGTCCAAGCAGAAGCAACAGGTTCCCAGACCTAGCTCTGCCCCTCCACCTCGTGACCCTCCTGCTCAATCCCCGGGTGCTTTGCATGAGCCAGTCGCTCCTGAAGCCTCTGACCAGTGGTCTGAACAAGACGCTGATGAGTGACTTTTCGCACAGCTATGGCAGGAAGGGGGAGTACCATTGATTAATTACCTGCTTCTGAAGGCTATTTCGCCTGAGGCAGATGATCCAGACACGTCCAATGTCAGAGAATGGATGTACCACGATATCCTTCGCTTACCACCAGAGAAGCAGAAGGAATGGAGAGCTGCTTGCCATGAAGAATTGAATGCACTTCGTCGGCACAGAGTCTTCGACTTGGTTAACCGCCCTAAAGGGCGTAAAGTCATAAAATGTCGCTGGGTATTTGATGTTAAATCAGATGGACATCGCAAAGCGAGATTAGTCGCTAAAGGCTTCTCGCAGGTTGAAGGTATAGACTTCGACCAAATATTCTCACCAGTTGTGCGCTTTGAGACAGTGCGCCTTATGCTTGCGCTAGCAGTGCTTGAGGATTGGCACATCTCTGGACTCAACGTGCGCAATGCCTATCTCTATGGCAAACTGGATGAGGAAATTTATATGGAACAACCTGAAGGCTTCACCGTAAAAGGCCAGGAGCACAAGGTTTGTAGACTGCGCCATGCACTGTATGGACTTAAGCAAGTGGGGCTTGCCTGGTGGCGCACACTTGCTGAGTCTTTAGAAAAATTAGGCTGCAAGCGTCTAACTACCGATGCTGGCATCTTCTTATTTGAGGAGAAGGATGGCCACATGGTAATTATTGTCATCTACGTTGACAATGCCTTGTTCTATGGCAAGGACAAGTCCCTCGTGACAGATTTAAGTCACGATTCATGAAGAAGTGGGAATGCAGGGACCTTGGCGGTGTCAAGGAATTCCTATGCATGTGCATTACAAGGCAAGGCCGAGAGATTCATCTCAATCAGATCGCCTACCTTGATAAAGTGCTGCAGCATTGTGGCATGCAAAATGCAAAATCTGCGCCAACTCCTCGCCCTGCAGGCTATCGACCTGAGCCAGGCAGAAGGTTGTACGAAAGAGAATTCCCAGCCAATCAGAGCCTGTGGAATTCCCTTTCATACAACCTTCTGCCTGGCCCTAAAGATTACAAATCCCCAGTGTCAGAAGGGAATCTAAACAATTTAATTATAATGTATCAACAAAGATAATACTGCTGAAAATATATATTACAAGCTGCGAAATTCTCAATAAAGATTATCTTTTGTGAGCCCCAAAATTTTTTACAAAAGCCAATCTTTCATATATCCCTACCATACAATCTTTTGCTAGGCCCAAAAGAGTGTAACTCCCAAAGTGTCCGTTTGGCTCAGGACGGAGATGACCGTCTTGGGATGATGGGGGGGCCTCTCCATCGCTCCGGGGCTCTGTGAGGCTCCATATAGCCAAGATGGAGATTACCCTGGGTTCTGAAGCAGCTTCAAGTTTGCAGCTCAAGCCAGTCTGCACAGGCCTTGACAGTAATAAGACCCTGTAAACCTCCATTTCTCTCTACCTCGGAGCCCATCCACCACAGTCATTTGTGGCTTGTGCTTAGCTCTTCTGAGGATGCTTGTATGATATGGGCAAGATGGGGGTGCCTTTAATAGAAGGCCTTCATTACAATATCTTTCTGCAGAGGCTGAGAATTGGGCATGTTAGGAAGCGATGTCCTAACTGGTTGTCTTGAGATAACTGGGCCACATGCCAACAGTTATGTCGTCACTACCTCAGTAAGTGTACTGAAAGGTAGGTCTGGCCAAGCCAATGCCAATGGTCAAGTCAAGAGTCCAGGTAATCGCTGTATTCAGTTGAACTAAGGAACACAAGGGTTTTCCTACAGTATATATAGTTACTGGTATAGGGGTTAATACCCAAAGAAGTGAACAATAAGAA